GTAGTGGTAGTGGTGGTAGTTGTAGTAGTGGTAGTAGTGGTAGTGGTGGTAGTGCTGGTGGCAGTAGCACGGGGTGGTCCTGCAAGCCTCAAGGTCTGCGTACAGTACAGTTTCTATTCACAACTACCGCTACTACTATTGCTGCTAACCCCCAGCAATTCACAGCTTCGATGGTCCGTCCCGCAGCAGCACGACCTACAACCGCAAGAATTGCCATGTATGCCTCATGCACTTCGCAGTTCGCCCTCCGCGCAGTCGTTGAAAGAAGCTGGCCGAGGTCGCCGAGGAACTGAGTCCCTTTGTGTCCCTAGCCTTGGACGCAGCAAGGACCGTTCTCTCCTTGACGCAGGTGCGATCTGGTTCCTGTACGTTCCTGTGAGAGGTAAGCCAACACCGTTGCCAGCACCAGCAGGTAACAACGGCGAGAAGTGACACAGCACTCGGGGCCATTCTAGCTCTTACGCTGCTGACGAATCCGTATGCATCAGACTCGATCCTTGGATTCTTCAGCCTGCTTTCTGCAGAAGCCTATAGGCCCGTTCTTTCTTCGCGAAGTCTCCATGATCTTTCACGTACTTTCCCACTGAGCACGAAGAGAGGATTGAGATGCAAGTTTCTTTCGCTTGTCGATCTTAGGCCGCCATCTTTGATACAAGTGGAGGCAGCGAGACCAGATGACCCTCCTTCCGTTTATATAGCATTCTCAAATGCGCGACTTGGCCAGCAAAAGGGGCCTGGGATATGTGATCAAGACTTCCAAGCGCACGGTGCTGCTTCCAGCAGTCCTAGCCGCAATCGGTATTGCTGATTGCTGAGGGCATGAGTGGCCAGTATGATCCAAGTGCGAGGTACATCCAGCAGCTGCCGTTCCCCGGGCTACTGGTTCCGGACCTAATGCCAAGATGCAGCCACAGATCTTCGCATGCTTGCAGGGTGAGTCCTGAGAGACCAGGTCGGCGCCATCGACGAGCGTGAAGACATAGCAACCTGGATTCCTCCACATGCTGCGTATCATCCCTCGAGCGGAGAGCCTCTCGCCTGGTCCATCGGAAAGTTGATAGGAGTCATTGCAGCTGCAGCGGCACAGCAGCCTGTGCCTCCGAGTGGGATGTGAGGACGATATCTGTGGGCACTGCCAGCGGAAGGCTTGGGCATCATTTTCTCTACGCAGCTGACTTGCGTTTCATTCCTAGCATCGGACCAACTGGGGACATCCTTGCCAGAGGTCCTGTCATACCTGCATTGTTAGTCCCTGCACTTTGTTGGTGACACCAGTGTTAAAGCTGACACCGGCAGCAAAGGCGAGCCTTGCGAATCTGGAGTCTCAGTCCTTCGCCGACATCGTGGTGGCTCGCTCTGGCTTGGACATGTCGCAGGAACTCTTGAAAGCAGAGGCTAAGATGAGAGATCAGAAGAGCATTCAGAGTGCGGAGAGGAACGAAGTGCTGGAGCCAGAAACGGACTGATGGCACCACCGTCGTCGTTGTCGTCCTCGTCTTCCCCCTTGCAAAAGAGTCCTGCCGTCCTACCTCTGTGCCAGACCCCTGGCACGAACCCAGAGCGCCGAAGCCGAAGAATTCGGAGACCTTGCCTGTTCAAGGTTGGGAGCAGTCCCAAGCTTCCCTCCCTACTGGTACCAGATTCGAGCTCGCACAGCAACAATTAGCGCGATGCCTTCATGCTCGCCTTCCACAGTTCAGGAACGCCAACTCCCATGTTCAAACCGTCCGATTTTTTCCCGTTTTGTTGGGCAGCAGACAGCGGATTCACGAGGCAGCAGGTGGAGTCTTGGAGCCGATCTCTTGACATGTGTAGCTATTGCAAGCATTGCCTCATGGAGAAGCATGACACGTTTTCAGAACCAGCATGAACCAGCCAATCCTGCAAGTACGAGATCAGGATGAGGAGTAGGAGATAGTGCGAGCAACATCATAAGGGCACGTCAAGGGTCAGAATTTGGCTTGTCACAACGCGGTTTCTTGATGATTCTTGATGTATGTTTTATGGGATCATGGTTCTGATAGGATTCGAAGGTTCACCTTCTGTTGGCCTGTGGCGGACCCAGGCAGCCAATGCGACCGCGCAGACATATTGGAGGCTGTGGATGCATTCTCTTGCTCGGCGGTCTCTCTCACACCGTCGAGGAGCACTGTAGGACTGTAGGACCTGCGATGGGCAGGTTGACGCAGAACACGTCGTACCCTGCCCGCGCAGCCTGCGTCCGGCTTGGCTCCGACAGCACGTGGAAGCAGGAGTCCCGTTCTCGTCTCTGTGAGACCTCACAGTCCTGAGTCTGCACGGCCCTGCAGGAAGCAGTCTATCGCCCAACCGTCACAGAGCTGCAAGCTGCAGGCATTACAACAGTGCTGTGTCTGCAAGATGCTTCTTCAAATCTTCGGTGAATGCGTCAACCGCAGCGATCAGCGCTTGGACATGACGAGGGACGTCTGTGTGGGTGTCGGGACGTCTAGCAGGAAGGAGTGAATAGACGCACGTTATGCCCGGTGAGTACCTACGACCTTTAGAAGACGAGCAAGCTCAGGGGGCCGCGCCCACCTGACCACTCGCACACAGACTGAGGACCTCAATGGGTTCTGGTGCGTGGCAGCGCGGGGTTTCGGATTATTCGGCATCTTCATTCCGTTCGCCGCCCGGCACAAACTCGGCACAAATGGCTGCTTGTTCGGATGTTCACTTTGGAGCCATAGTCGTTGTCTTTCCTTTCCATGTCTGAAATACACGCTATAGATGTATCATCAACGGAAGGGGCACTGTGGCAACGGACTCAAAGATTGCCTTGGAAGAGGCATCCGAAACGACAACGCCGGAGCCAAGCACGACAACTGCAGCATCCGTGGCCCAAGACGTGCAGGGCCAGGCCTGCCACGGTTTTCGGAGTTTAAGGGCTTGGGACCTTTGGGAGTTTGGTGTATGACTTAAGGGCTGGAGGGATGCCCTTCCCTGGCGAGGAACTACGTCATCGCCAGATCTATCTATCTACCTACCTACCTACCTATCTATCTATCTATCTATCTCTGTCTCTCTCTCTCTCTCTCTCTCTGTCGCTCACTCACTCGCTCGCAGAAATGCTCTCTTCCGCACGGGCTTTGGTGGCGGAGTGTTTTAGCATTTCGTCAAGTTAACCTTCCGATCTTCCTACAGCTTGCGCAAGTACCAAAGATGTGCGCTCTGTCGTGGCGAACCGATTCGCTGCGCGTTTGTCATTGCTTTCTCCGAGTTCGTCCATGTCTCAGAGCAGGGCTCGTGACATGCGCAGGTTGTGACGCTGGCTAGCGGACTGGTCGCCGACACCATCAGTCAAGCACTACAAAATCCAGTGGATCCTGCAACTTGGCGATCTAAAGTCAGAATGTCCATCTTCGAGTCAGGGCAAGCATCTGCAATCTGACATCATTAGTGGCATTCCATGCAGATTTCAAAGGATTCTGTGGCAAGCGCAGTTAAGTAAGGAGCAGCCTCCAGAGCCTTGACCCACCATTCCAGCTTTTCGGAGGGCATTTTTTGCCACCCCTCGGTTTCAAAGTAGTGACTGCCATGGCATCCAATCCGCCCAGGTGGTCGTGCCAAAACCAGATCCACCGGTCGGGACAACCGTTGACCTCATCACTCTTCCCGTTCCCGGCGCGCAGCCTGCCTGCAGCGAACACCTAGCTTCGAATGTCATGGTACGCGGTGCTGTTAAGCTCGCTGAGGAACAGTTCGTCATTTCTGACGCTGACGAAGCCCGATGATGGAGCGATCCCGATTGCCATCCCGACAGCGCCTGAACCTTAGAGCTCGGGTGGGAGGCAATAATTAGTAGCTGTTTTTCCCCCTCGTTTACAAGGTCAGCGCGACAGAAGGCCGAAATGTACCACGAGAGAGGGCAGAGGGAGGGATATGGAAAGACAGAGAGAAAGAGGGTTAGTGCTGGACTCATGCCTTGTGTGTGGAGGGGGAGAGAGAGAGAGAGAGAGAGATCTTTCTTCACACCCCTGCACCCAATAAAACATTGGGTGGGCCCTATGCCCGGAGAGAGAGCGAGACAAGAGACAGCGAGAGAGAGAGAGAGAGAGATTCACCGTACAGCCAAGCCCCTCTGTCAAAATGATGGACGGGGATGCGCCTAGGCGCGGGTTGGGAGGTAACTCCTCCTGACTCCAACCCCAAGCAAAGCAAAGCAAAGCAAAGAGAGAGCTGGCGCCCGCAACCGTCGGGGGCGCGCCTGTGCGCGGTGCAGGGGGTCAAACCCCTATACACCATAGCCAAGGCAAGGGAAAGAGCGAGAAAGAGAGAGAGTGAGGTAGTGGGTCAAACCCCTACACCATAGCCCTGATGAAAGAAATGAGGTAGTACGGCCAAGCCGCCTTGGGGCAATGCCCCACAGTGGATCCTCTAACACCCTGCCAGGACTAGCAGGTGCGCGTTGGCGTGCGGTGGGTTGGGCTGCTGCCTGCCTCCTCTAGCCTGGTCTCGAAAGGGAGAGAGCCTACACCATAGCCGTGGCGAAAGAAAGTGAGTGAGGTGGCCATTTTGGCTCAAGCCGTAAGTGCTCGAACCTGGACGGTCCCTTCCCTTGGCCCTTTTCCTCGCTCTTCTTCCTAAGACAACCAAATGTTTCGCTCCTCTTGACCGCTACCTCGCTTCCGACGCCATGGCTCCAGGAAGGCGTTGATATGCGTGCGCTGTTAATGCAGAAGGCCCTCCTCGACGAGTTCGGTTGCATCGGAGCACAAGGGGGTCCCTACGTGCAGTTCCAAGGGGAGCTCAGGTCGCACTACCACTCGGGCATCGGAGAGCCGAATACCTTCGAGGGATATCTCAATTTCTTCTTGGCGCGAATTTTGCCCTGTACCAGTCCGTGACTACCGTGCCGATCGACAGACCTGTGCTATCTCCTTTGTTTCAACAAGTCGCAGAAAGAAACTTTCAATTCGGGTTTTATGAGCCTCAATTTCACGCTTAGATACACCTAAATTTCGGGCTTGGTTAGCTCTTCATTTCGGGTTCAGCTACATAAACTTAAATGGCGGGCTTGCTCAACCTGATAACTTCGGGTTTGATTAACCGAACCTTGATTTCGGGTTTGGCCAAACCTTAAGTTCGGTTTCGTCTAAACTTTAATTTCGGGTTTAGCTAAACCTGACTGTCGGTTTGGCTAAACCTTTATTAATTCCAGTTGTAAATAAAACCTTAATAACGGTCTAGGGCCGGGTAGGCATCATGGCATGGGATGTAACAGATAACAAGTTATATCTGTGTGGGGTTCGCTTATAAGTTTGGTTTAGAACTACCTTTCCAGAAGCCTACGAAACACCGCTGCGTGACACTTTCGTGGCGGGAAAATGTTGCGCAGACTGTTTTCTGCATGGATTGGCAAGGAAGGTGGTGCCACATTCCAGACACCCAAGTCGCGCTGGAGCTAGGTTCCCACAGAGTGCTTGTTGCGTGGGCTTGGAGGGAAGGAAGGTAGCCACACCAGACACCGAAATCGTGATGGGGCTGGGTTAGAAGCCTACGAAGCACAGCTGGGTGACGCTTTGGTTGCGCGAAAGTGTCCCACAGAGTCTTCTGCATAGATGTGGAAGGAAAAAAAAACTAATTCACCCAATTCGCGTTGGGCCAGGTTAGAAGCCTCCGAAATATACAGCTGGGTGACGCTGTCGTTGCGCGAAAATGTCCCGCAGAGTGCTTCCGCATGGATTTTGCAGAGGTAGCTTCAGGAGAGGCTTTCGGGTTTCGGGATCCGGGTGCTAAGCATGGGCCTTTAGAGAGTTCAGGGCACCCTAACCCATTCGGTCCTGGACGTCGCAAAAGAAGTTTCAGCCGCGGATGTGGCGAAACCACACATGGTCAGTGACGCCGAAGAGGAAGTCGTCCAACTCGGGGAGGTCCCCGTGCGCGGAGATGCCAGTGTCGCAACCCCCAGAGCTTGTGCCGGAACCTTCCAACATCACAGCCACTCAAAAGACAATGTCTTTGGCAATTGTACCAGGCTGGGGAAGTCTCCAGACAAACCATGGACCAGACCGACGACAGTGTGTGGCGAAGATACAGAGAGCGGTGTAAGGTGTAAGGCAGATCAGCGACGAGTTGCACGCAAGAAGCAGTGAGAGGCTCTGAGAAAAGAGTGGGGCTAACCCCGGTGATTTCTTGGAGGATGCTAAACATATGCTTCCCAGTAGTGGTGCATAGCCGCACTGCGCGTTTAGTTGGGGGCGCACATGCACGCGGGCGGGGGATCAATCCCCAGCCCCTAGCTGCTAGCTTGGGCGAAAGAAAGAAGAGACAGTGAGAGAGAAGGCTCGGGGGACTTAACTCGCCCCCTACGCCTCGGAGAACGGAACAGAACAGAACAGACAGAGAGAGAGAGAGAGAGAGAGCGATAAACATAAGCAAGCTCGGACAGACGTGAACAGCAAGATGCAAACGAAGATGGAGTTGACAACTACGTGCAGCAGGATACGAACAAAGCAAGGGAAAGACCAAAACTTGCTAATCACAGTAATGTTGTGACGAGGAGTCGTCCAACAGAATGACCACAAGTTATTTGAGTCACAGTGAGCGTTCTAATTTTAACAATGACAGGGTTTCCAGCGTACAGTCGTCACAAAAACTTTAGTATTGCCAGTATCTCCAGGACAGTGGTGTCGGCTGCAGCTCGCGTAGCAGCAGAAGCCGCAAAATTATGTCATCCACCGGCTTCAGCGGAGTGACAACAATCCATACATTATCAGTAGTTGCTGCCAATGTTACTCATCAGCCACACTGATGGTTGCTGTGTCTACGGAACCATGGCAGAATGACGGTTGTAGTCGGACGCATGAGAATCAGAATATTCATTCGAATCCAATGTTTCCACCGGCACTGATAGCACGGTCTATTGTCATGGTCCAGTTGTTCATAAGTGACAAGTAAATAAAAGCACCAATGCGTACGTGACGAAGACAACTTTGCAGAATCAACGAGGGCAGCCAGTACTGCGTGTAGAAAACAGGTGTTTGGGAGTCGACATTCGGAAAGACAGTGCCAGATGTAGATCTATAGCCATCCATAGCCATCCTATTCCGATCCATCAGGGGTTGCTCTCACTCCTTACAGTGCGACCTCCTCTTGTCGAAACCGTCTCATACCACACATGCAAGCTACTTCGTAAAGTATCATGGGTTGACCTAAGCCGACCTACGCTTCACTGGCTGTGTGGTCTAGTGGAATGATTCTGGCTTAGGTCCTGGGATCTGTAACGCGACTGCTTTTCGTGATTTATGATGGTCCCGCCACACGCATCGAGACAGCTTCGCCAGGCTGCGGTCCTCCATTGCCGCACCCTACGCGGCCGTTCTGGTGGCAGTGATGCATTTGGCAGTATTTTTTTGGGTAGAAGGCACTGCCAGACTGCAAACACTCGGGCTCCACCGCCAGCTGGAAGTGTTTATCGTTGGGCGGAGGGAATACCATCGGAACACCCCCAGCAATGAAGGGCTTCGATATTTCAATTGCGCGGCAACAACTATCATTCTAGCTGCTACAGTAGCAGCTGTTCAATCCGCCCCTCTTGCCTAGGTCGCCCAAGTCCAAGTTGAACAATCTAATTTGGTAGCGTTGGGTCTTCCCGCAGCCTTGGCAAGCAGGCCGATGCTTGGACTGCACTGGGACTGTCGTGAAGAGATCACAGGTCATGTTGGCTTCGTGGTTTCCGAAGATGCGTGGAGTCTTGCCTTTGCCAAGGACTGTGACGACTGCTGAAGGGAAGCAGCTCAAGCTTGGCTACAAGATGGTGGAGGCTCTCGCTTCAAGCTGTCGCAGGGAAGTTGACGTGATGTGGATGCGTTGCAAGCTGTGCAACTGCCTACTTCGCAGGTCAGCTTCCTGGACCTCGACATGGGTGGTGGCGCGCAAGTCTTGGAATCTTGCTCGCAGGGCGGGTGACATCGGGAGGGGGAGGACCATACGGGTCTAGAGTCGAGCCCTGCGGCAGACAACTGGCCTAGGCTGTCCCGAGCTCGTCCAGCCCCATCTACATGAGGCAGGGAGGAGCAGTGGATCCCAATGGTGGGTCGCGGGACCGCAGTGCAAGCTCGAGATTGGAGTGGAGAGGAAGCTTTGGCAGGCTCTCTGATCAGAACTTCCCCGGTGCCGTGTGCGCCTTTCTCAATGCTGCGAACGAGTGGTCCGAGGTCGCCAGCATGTGATAACAATGTGCTCCGTACAGCAGTCTTTCTGTTTGCTAGCAGCATCGATGTGCGAAGGCCGGTACCAGCGTTCCGTCCACGACAGAGATCAGCGAGGCTTTTGGCCCTGACGCCGCTCGGCAGAGCTGCCTCAGCAATTGCACTGCATCGACACTTGTCCGAGGTTGCCGCGGCGGGCGGCTTCTGGTGCGCTGCCAACCACCTCTCGCTCTTTGCAATCCTCGAGGCCGTTCGTGTTTGCTGTGAAGCCCCTCATTAGCTGCACTGTTGCCAGTCATCAGTCCTGCCGAACACGATACACCTCGTCACACTTTGCAACTGAAAGTCATAAGTTTGAGAATAAACATGGGAATTTTCTGGCTATTAGCTAAATGCAGAGATCTTCCTGGGAGTTTCCAATTCAAGGAAGACAATATAATTTGCAACTGTTCCAACGGAAGACTTGTTGAGATTCGATGTCTCGAAGATAGCGGGTTTTGTAAAACTTGTCCCTGCCCTATTGTGGAACTTTGCCTATGCCACAAGGGTTTGGGTGTCGGATACAAAAGAGTTTTGCAGACCCTTTGAGTAGTTCTGTCATGGCTGGTGGCGGTTGGTGGTACTCGTTGCTTGGGCAGTTTATTCTGCCGTCTTATCAGAGCCTCCAGCTCTAGAGACCGTTTGCAAATTTGGGGTGTAAGAGAGTCGAGTCGACTCGTTATGAGAGCCCTGCAGATTCTGTGAGCACGATGAGCATAGCGATAACGATGATGATGATGATGATGATGATGACGATGATGACGATCGACGATCTCCTGTTTTTGTTGCTAGTACGTCAGTACGGTAGGTGGGTCCTTGCACGAACTGGGTAGTTTCTTCCTTGTCGTTGGTTCGCCAGAGGAAAATGCGTGAACGCACAGGCCGATGGCTTTAAGCAGTGAGATGCAGCAACCCCTCGAGTCTGTCACGCCTCGTCAGTGGTCGTGTGCATCATTGTGCATCCCATCAGACGCGGCTCCAGCCATTCCTAGGTGCAAGCAGCATAGAAATGCACCATGCAGGGCACGTCTGCTTTGATTGTTAGATGTCGTGAAGCACCGTGCCTGACTGCGTTGAGGCTTTCTTGTCGAAGCTACGGAATGACGGTTCGCCTGCTAGTGATTGCTTGACCGTGACGCAATCCTACATGGGATAGTGATTGCGATGATTGTCGTGAATGTTGAGATTATGATGCTTGTTCTTGTTCTTGTTCTTCTTGTTGTTGTTGCTTTACGTTGTTTGTTTTTGTTCGATGTGGTTTGTTGTGGTTTGTTGGCTGTATTCGTTTTTGTTGTTGTTGTGGTTGTGGTTTTTGTTGTCGATTTCTGGTGATGGCTCACCTCCCTGACAATGCCATACTTCATTTCACGGAGAGCATACTGTTAAGTGCTGGCATATCCCAGGGCAGGCCGTTGTCATATGACAATACTGTGAGATACTGTGAGAGTCTCTGATTCGCGCCGGCATCCCTTGCTCAGTATTTTCGTGAGAAATCATCTCGGGAACCGCTGTGGTCTGTGAAGTGGGCTGTCTGCGCTTCGAACCCCCGCTGGATTGCCTGGTTGCTGTTGTTGTGGTGGTGGTGGAGGTGGCTGTGGCGGTGGTTGGGTTGGCAGTCAGGATGCGGTGAGTGTCGTTGCAGTAGTGTCACCAGGCCGAATTGGCACCCACGACAACCACGAGCACTGGGATGCCTGCGATGGCCGAGAGCGTCCAAAGTGCGGTCAGCTACCCTGGCAGCCAAGGGAAGTGCTACAGTGTGCCGAGCTCTTCGAACTCTCTACAGGTACTGTCACAAGCGGCGGGAAGCGGGCTGATAGCCGATGCCCTCAGTCAAGCCGTCAGTGCAACCATGGACAATCCACTCGAGGCTGCAGCTTGGTAGCAAGATTGCAAGGGCATTTTCGACATGTAGTGTGTTTGTGTAAAAGAGAACTTTTTCGAAGGGCCACTCAGTTTATGTTTGTTGAGCAGACGAAGTGCTGTGATTGCTGAGGTGGTAACAAGAGTAACAAGTACATACGGTCATACTTAAAGCAAAAGTTGTTTCGTGCCGACAGTGTGTTTCTTGGCTTCGCACTTCGGCAAGGGGAAATCTTTGGCAAAGTGGTAGACCCCGGTCCGGTCCGATGTACAGGATATTTAGACCTGTCCTGTCCCGAGACTTTCGATCTCATCGAGCAGGTGCGGCTTCCAGCCGACATGTCGCGAGTCATTAAGAACTGCCAGAGTATGGACACGCGCATTCTGCGATTGCAGGGTTTGAACGGAGCGCCCTCAATCCCATGTCCGATGTCAGCAAAGGTGGTCGTACCAAGCTCAATTCTGCCAGTCGGGATGAAAGTGGACCTCATCACTGTCCCGTTTGCCCCCCTGCGGCCGGCCTGCAAAGAAGAGTTTTACTTCGAGAGTCATATGATACCCTGCTGTTGTGACCTCGCTGAGGGACGGTTCGGAATTTATGATGCTGACCGTGCCGGGTGATGGAGCGATCCCCATTGCCATCCCGACAACGTTTGTCCCTTAGAGCTCTTCTGCACATGGCTTGAGGGGAGGGCTGTTGTTGGGGAGCGGAAGAAAGACACCAAGATGGAAGAGAGACTGTCGGCAGGCAGAAACACAGGAAAAGAGAAGGGAAGGAAGCGGGAGAAAGAATGGAAGCAATCTTGGCAAGGCAGGAAATCAGAGGAAGGGACCAACACGGGAAGCAAGTACACGAGCCAGAAACGTGTAGCAAGAAAACACATCAAGATTGAGAAACACGTACATTCCAATTACACTCTACACTGGAATCACACTGATGCCCCAATCACAATGACCGGAAGGACCGGTAGAACCATGCCATCTTCAGCATCATCACTAAGTCGCAGTTGTGAAAATCACCACGAGTCATAATCATCAGGTTGAACTGAAGCAACACGAGTCGTCACTCTCACAGGGCCTATGCAGGGCACGTCAAATTCGCATGCCTTAAATTTGACTTCAGGCAATGGCAATCCTGTGAAATTTCATGTTTTAGACATGTTAACTTGTCAACTTTGGTGGTCCTGCATGCACAGCAAAGTTCATCACATTCTTCTTCAAGATGTTCGCCGTAGTCATCGTAGCCAGAGCGACAGCTGGGACGCATATCCCGTACGATCACCTTGATATCCCGAGCAGTCATTCTAACCTTACCCAACCAGTGATCGCAATAAAAGAAGCGTGCAACGCCGCACCAGAACGGTCACAGCAACCACACAATACTGTTTTCATAATGTGAGGCATGGCAATCCCAGAATCTCAATAGTTACAGACATCATAGCTGCGACAGTCTCATGATTCTAACAAAACAGCTCCCGATGATTATCGGAATCCTCTCAGTGGAAACTGTCGTGGTAACCCAAAATGGGCATGGTGATCATGTCAGTCAGAACAGTCCGAAATCATGTGAAAATCCATCCCAGCCATACAGCTTGAAGAATCATCATACTGATACCGTGAAAAGTAGCATAAACACAGCACCAATCCCAACACTTGCGCTACTCATCATAGTGACCCTCCCGGCATTCTAGTTGAATTTATTGATCATCGGCGTCGTGTTTATAGCCATTGTTGCAGGTTGCTGACGATAGTCGCAGTCGTCGTAGAAGTCAGAAGACAAGGCCAATCTACAGAACCACTCTTGCGAAACACCATACCTACGCTTTCAAAAGATTGGGAACTCGCGGTCTGAGACATCTGGTTACAAGAGCAGTGACATGGTCTAGGATTGAAGAACTGCCACCAATAAGAGACGAAATTGGATCTAGGTAGTCCAAACCCATTTGCATAGATTCTTCAACGCCTAGTACAACGTGCGAGTTTCATGCCATGATCTGTGACACGTCAGTCCTCGAACAAACACCGAGCCTGCTTTCTCAGGATGCGGGATTCCATTTCCGACATGATCGTATCCTATCCGGCTGTTCTGGTGGCCTCCTAAGCAGTGATGCAATTGCGAGTAACTCATTGATTGACGTGGATGTCAAGCTGTCTTTCAGCCGTCGAGTTGGCATTGCGAGACCTCAGAAATCGAGAACAGACCGGGCCGGTGTGTTGTGGGAAATTCACGAGCTCCCAGCTTCAAGAGCTCTTGGCAGTGGTGGTTCGAGGGCAGGTCCACTCGGAAATCCAGCAATGAAACCCCAATGCTTCGACTGCTAGCATAGGTATCCAGTGCGAGTCCAGTACGAGTAGCCAACACTATTTTGATGTCTGCTAGGTGCTAAGAATTCTCCACTTCACACTCCGTGTCAGCTTTGAGGGTCTGGCCCCTCTTGCTGAGGTCGCCCAAGTCGAACTTGCCCAAGCGAATTTGGAAGCGTTGGGCCTTCCCGCAGCCTTGGCAAGCAGGCCGATGCTTGGACTGCACTTTGCATGCAACGCTTCGGTGAAGAGATGACTGGGTGTCCGGACTGGTGCTGTCTGAGTCTCTCTGCCAAGGACTGTGACGACTGCTGAAGGGAAGCAGCTCAAGCTTGGCTACAAGATGGTGGAGGCGTGACGTGTGCGTGCTGCAAGCTCTGTATCTTCTTGCCTGCTCGACCTGTGTCGCAGAGGTGAGCTTCCTCAAACTCGACCTGGGGAGTGGCGGTGCAGCAGTCCTCGAATCTTGCTCGCACGGCTTGCGCCTGCATCGGAAAGTCCAGAGCTGGTTGACGCTCGTGAGCTGATTCGTGGTCACAAAACGGAAGCTACCGTAAAACCATTGGAGCAGACTTGGCCTAGGATGTCCCGAGCTCGTCCAGCCCCATCTACATGAGGCAGGGAGGAGCAGTGGATCCCAATGGTGGGTCGCGGGACCGCAGTGCAAGCTCGAGATTGGAGTGGAGAGGAAGCTTTGGCAGGCTCTCTGATCAGAACTTCCCCGGTGCCGTGTGCGCCTTTCTCAATGCTGCGAACGAGTGGTCCGAGGTCGCCAGCATGTGATAACAATGTGCTCCGTACAGCAGTCTTTCTGTTTGCTAGCAGCATCGATGTGCGAAGGCCGGTACCAGCGTTCCGTCCACGACAGAGATCAGCGAGGCTTTTGGCCCTGACGCCGCTCGGCAGAGCTGCCTCAGCAATTGCACTGCATCGACACTTGTCCGAGATTGCCGCGGCGGGCGGCTTCTGGTGCGCTGCCAACCACCTCTCGCTCTTTGCAATCCTCGAGGTGCTTGCAGGATCATAATAGGATAAGATTGGTTCCATCCTTTCAACACACTCCGAACATGCCTTTTTCTGCGGGAGGCAGTCTCCGCATACTAGACTGTCAGTCATCAGAGCGTCCCAAGATATGTGTTGGTATACTTCCAACATCGTGTTGCTAGCTTCTTTCAGATGTCGAGCAGGGCATAAGCCTGTGGTTTTACTTCATTCGAAGAGGTAGCTTGCTAGCGACTAAGTGTTTTAGAAAGCACCTAGTAAAGCGAAAGGTCTAGCTCCAGCGGTGTCCACCCTACTGTGGACTAAGAATACTCTCGCAGCCTCAAGGAACGTGGGTGAGGAAGGAGAAATATGCAAGCAGTTGGCAATTTTTACTCGCCGCCATTGAATGAGTGGAAACGTGACCCCCACGCCCAGAGGCCCAAAGCTTGTGTGCTTGGTGTATTCAAAGTGCTCCCCGAGACCAAGAGTCTCCTGTCGTGCAGGCAGCTGGAGACAGCACACATCAAAACAGCACAGCGACCGCGACCAAAGTCCAGAACAAGGCGTGGTCGCGTTGTCATATGCAGCCGGACCGCTCTCGCTGCAAATGATTGGATGGCCCCCGGTTTGCTCTGGAAGGGAGCCCTGTGAGGTCTTCGAGTGGACCGAGCCTCTGTCGCAGGATGCGGTTCAGATGTCAGGCACATGGGCCACAATGGTATCAGCAACCGAGAGGCTGTTCGGGGCAGTTCAAGGTTTCATGTTCGTCAGGCAGCTTGCCGTACACCTCCGCAGCTCAGCGGCACCATTCTTTGCCTGTGTTTGAGATGGAGCTCGGTAGATCGGTGGCTGAGGCGGCAAAGACCGCGGTCGTCTCCGACGACATCGTGGCGGGTCTCATCACCCTGCCCTTTGCAGATCCGCTGCCCGTCCCACCTTCAGCAACTTGCAAATGTGCTCGGACAGACATATCTCGGATGGGAGCAAGAGCCAATCCTCAGTAAGCAGGTTTGACCGCAGCAGATCGACTTTCCACCTCAGGATGGCAACTTCTGAGTTCCTGCTCCTCGCAGCCATGAGTGACAGCGGACTGGAAGCGGCGGTTTTCAACGGGTCTCCGCCCCAGCGGTGTGGAGCCAGAGCTTCAAATCACATGAGGGCCTTGCGTGATGACCCGTGGCTTGACCTTCGACCTTCGGAGGTTCCGGTCCCTGTTGCCCGCATCATACCCGGCCTTGGCTGCGGCGGCCTGAGGGACCCTGAGGTACAGCTGAGCTGAGACAACTTTGCTGTCCGCACCGCAGTACAGTACCAATGGCATGGAATGCTCAGGTAGCCTCGTTCGCCACCACCCTTGCAGCGCAAGCTCAATTTGGTGTGAACGGGTTGTCGTATGGAACGAACCTCGAAGCTTTATATTCTGAGTCGCAGCAAGTGCAGGGGCAGGGACGGAATATTTCAGTTTGAAGCTCTGCTTGTCGAAATGCCCAGGATCGTCGAAACGGCCCAGGGGCACTTCAAGATCGGCCCAAGGGCGCTCCAGGCAAGCACGACAAGCACGCTTCGGTTCTGGTTTCGGAGCGCCGGAGTGTGCCTGTCAAGGTGAGCCTTGTGGACATGGCCCAAGTGCCCACAATCACGGCCGTTGACACATGGTCGAGAGAGGAACCCTTGTACTTCAGGCTGGATCAGAGTCTCCGTGTTGCGGAAGCTAGATTCGGGCAGCCTGCCTTACAGGCTCGCAGACGATGTGTTCGCCGACACCGCGATCTGTGCTTGGCTCAATCACCTGAACGAGTGGGTTCAGGAGAGTTTGATGATCTCGCCTGTGATCTCGTCCCGCAGAGCCCCGCAGAGCCGCAGAGAGGACGACACCTACAGGCCGGACGAGGACGAGCTCCGAGTCGCTCTCGGCACAGCGGCACGGCCGCATGCGGCCGTCACGGAAGTGAGAAAGCAGAAAGGTTGGATGTATGGTGCTGGTTCCGAAAAACCCGGCCATGGCAGCGGTAGATGGCCGTTGCAAGAAACAAGTTGCACCTTAGGCATGGAGCCCTGGCTTTTGGTGTGCCACGCTTCACTTTGGGCTCTTCGCGATTCTTGAGGCACCCGTAATCCACCTCTGGCCGGAGAGTCGAAGCTCGTGAGACTTTCCTCCTGTTGAGGTCCTGGTAGAACCTGGCGATGTTGCCGGCGCGATGCAGAACTTGGCCAGGGACTCAGAGCATCAGAGCTTCTGTTGGATGAAGCCACAGTATGCTTGAAGATGCTTGAAGGATCTTGAAGGCTAACCTTAGCTGGGCAGGCGTCTGGCAGAAACACCATCCCAGAAAGCATCGTCGAGTGCAGAAGCCAAGCAGGCATTCGACCTGCGACTGACCAGAGATGGACGTCAGAACGGACAGAGGTTTTTGTAAGTTCTTGGGTTGTGTTTCTGTGTTGGGATGCGGAGCTGGCGTGACCAGAGCTCCTGGTGCATCACTTCAGCTCGGCAAGACCGGCCTCGTATTCCACGGCTGGATTTCGCAGCAATCGGGTGCCGTTCATCTGGATCCTGAAGATACCGGATGCATCACTCGTGCACTGGCACGCTGCTTTAAAGGTGTCACTCGTCACACGGCTGAAGCTTCAGAAAGTCCAGTTGCAGTGTTTGCCATTGGGCCCACCGAGGTGTTGACCTCTGCAGCACAGGTGTTCTCCGAAGCATTCGTTGCTGCCTCCACGCAGCCTCAGCAATCTGCGACTCACCAGCACTCGTCTTGATTCTTTGCAGACCACTAACAGCCGTAAGTAGGCCCTGTCCTGACGTTTCTGCATTTCTGAGGGTGCTTTCGGGTGGAGTGCTGGGACTGGGCTGGCTGGAGCCCTCGTCACTATACCGGAGCTGCCTGCGCGACTCATCAGCAGCAGCAGCTTTTCAAGATGGGATCTGGCAGACACTGATCACAGCTCAAGCTGATCACGCTCCATCGAGAGACAAACTGTTCATACCAATCACATCCTAAAGAAGGCGTCTCCTCCTTTCGAGTCTGAGGTCGTCAGACGACAGATTCGTAAACGTCGTGGCGGACATCTACGAGGAGATCTTCATTGCCCTGCCAGCATGGTCGGGATCCTACTTGTAGCCCAGCTAAAGCGCAGGCCGCCCAAATTCCGAGGCTTTCCGAATCCGTCGGTGGCTACGATGTTCTGTCTGTCAGAAGCTGAGAGAGGCAAAAGAACTGCTTCGGTATTTATTTTGCATGCCACATGAAGGCAAAGCTGGGGGGCAAGTCTTTTGTGTTCATTCTGCACATCATCGAGGTTGCTGAGATCCAGTATGACAACATGAACGCCACAAGTCGGAACTCTTTGCCATCGGGGCCCCTAGCTGCAAAGACGTGGCCTGGATGCATTTGCTTGCGGCAGAGCCGGGCCGGTCGCAAGGTGGAGCGGCCTTGCAGCTTTTCTGTCTCTGTTCTAACAAAAAACATCAGCAGGATGCTACTCGTCGTAAATGACAGACATCCTACTAGTGAGCACGAGACTGCATCAAATGCTTCCATGCCTTGCTCTCAGCAATTGACCTTTGGTTGGGTCTGCTTCAAAGTATTGGTGGGCTGCTCTTGAACTTTAATGGCTTTCCTGCAGATATGCTTAACATTAGCGGCTCCGTTCACGATCGAGAGAAGCGATTACACGAGGAGCATCACGATGGCAAATGGCCAGCCGGCCCTGCTGGGGCCAGTGCTGGTGGAGGCACGCCAGGATGGCAGTGGATTTTTGACACCAAGCCTGGTGTTCGATTTGCCGGTGCTGGTGCTGATCAGTCCAGTGAATTTTGCTGCCCTTGGCAGGTGTCGGTGCTGAGTAACGAGCCGGCCAATCCGCGAGCCATCGTACTCTGCCTTGTTTGAGAAAGTGCTGCTTGAACTGCTCGCTGCCAGTTAGTCGGATGTTGCAGTTTCACGAACCTGTACGGTCACAGCCCTTTCTATGGTTGAAATTTGCCTGCACTTCTCGTCGAGGCTCTCTCGAATCTGTCCACGCCCATCTACATCAGGTGCGACGTGCGTAGCTGTGTGCCTCCATGACTCCATGTGCCTGCCTGCTGTTGAACCCTCGTCAGGCTGTCGCCGCAGGAGTTCCCAGGAGCGGCTTGCGCCTTCCTGAGATCCGGCAGCTGGTCACAGGACGACCTCATCCGACGTATTGCAACACATCCGAAGGTCGGTCTCTCTCAGTTGAAACAGTTCAAGTGGTGGCCACAACGCAGGACGGCACGTATCGACCAGATGCAGCTGAAGTCGCTGCGGCCTTTGCATTCGGGCCATCGGGCTTGGAGGCCACAGACTCCGAGACGTGAAGTGATAGTAAAGCTAACAGAGCAAAGACACGAATCGTAATGGGTACATAGCCCACCTACTGTTAACACCAGCATTGCAGAGGCAGAGAAGTCCAGCTTCTGTGCATGAGCCGTCATGAATGAACCCATCATCCGTGAGGCATCTCAGACGGGATTTTGGTGTGCCACAAATCACCTGTCCCTTTTCGGTATCCTGGAGCCAATTGAGGCGCTTCTGCTGGTACTTGCAAAGTGATAGCTGTGCTGCCAGATCCTGACACCACACTGGTGCCCTTCTCACGTTGAACATTCGATTTCTGCGCTGCGAACAGGAAGCTCCTTGTGATGGAATCATGCTTGGAAGCGAGTGCGTTGCCATTGAAATCTTGTTGGGAGCAGTGGGGCCGCTCGGACCGAATCTGGCGCAAGAAATGTGAGCACATTGGCAGCGTTGATTTACCACACTGACCTGACTTTTCGTGGCCGAGGGGACCGCTGGTGTGCTGCTCCATCTGCTGCATCGTTTACTGCCGCTTCGGCAGCCAGGAACTTGCGCTTTGCTGCATTTCGTCCTTCAGCTGTTGACTCAAGTCACAGACGCAAGTCACTTGAAGGGCTTGCAGTGCGGTGTGTTCCCGTGCTGATGCTGCTCTCACAGATTCATGAATGGTGAGATACAAACGAGCATCGTGCCAGTGCTACTCAAGGCTGCATCAAATGTCGGCGCCCAACAGCGGGCAAGGTGAAGCTAACGGATCAGAGAGGATCTTCTCATGCGCCTGGTCTGCTTGTCGCTTTGTGCATTTCGATGACTTGGTGGACGCAGCCGTAATGACAGAGCCGCCGTTGCGCTCAGGAGTTCGGATTTCAGGTGGTGAAGGAGTCTGCCCTGTCGCGAGTTGTGCGAACTCCCACCACGAAGTCTGGAAAATCTGGAAGATCCGGCCGCGAACTCGGCTTCTCAAAGCACCGCATTAGCTGCACATAGCGATTTGGTCTGACAGCGAGTGAAGCCGCTGGGGCAGCGGGAGCGTCGTAAACATTTTTGGACTTCGCGGAACCAAGGCCAGGAGCATGCCGAGCCGGAGGAGGTGGAAGCAGCCGCTTGGCCTCGAAAGTCCGAGTCGCTTCGTTGCCAGGCATTCCACTCCGTGAAATTCCGTGAAGACGATGTGTGCTGAGGTCAAGATCCATGTGAGGTGGGACGTGGATGTCGCACAGTGGCTGACATGGAATGCTGTGTGTCTGTCCAGCGTATTGAGCAGTCCTCATGTGTCTTGCCGTGTTCCGCATGATCGGAAGCTGCGAAGTGGCCACAGAACTTAGGACAAAGCGCAGGAAGCAAACTTCGACTTCAGCGTTGCTCCGGACGGCGCCCTGTCAATTTGCACAGCCGATCACTGCTGAAATCGAACCGGAAAAGATCCCAGACGACTTCAGGTGAAAAGAAGCCAGCGGGCTTCCTCGCTGTCACAGACACCGGGGTCTTGCTTGCGGAATCTCCAAAAGTAAGACCGGCACTGTCGGAAAAGTCGAACGATGCGCGGCGGCTTGCTTGAAAGAAGCAATGATCAATCCCGATTCTCAGCGAAGTTCCGGTTACTTCGAGCCTCCAAGGAGCGAGTCTCCTCGCAGCTCCAGGCATCGGCAGCTTTCCGAGGCTTGGTCTTGCGAGCCTCGCTGTCTCTCGGAGGAGGGCCCTTGGTCCCCTGAGAGGCAGAAGAAAGAGTGCTGGCAGACATGGAAGACAACGAGCCAGAGGAGTCAAGCCCAGCGCCGCAGGCCCGCAACAGCTTCTGGGAGCTCAGACATGTTCACAGAGGGCTTGCTTGGAATGTGCAGGAGTTTCCAGAGGTGGAGGATCCTGAAGACATCCTCATAATCGCAAATCCAGATGATGGCCAAGATTCACCCAAGCGTATCAAATCTGTATCGGGAAACTGGGAGATGTTCGAGGACGGGGCGCACGTCGAGTATTGGTCCGCAACACATGCGCAGTGGCAGCTTGCCCGCAAATCTGACAGCTTTCCCAGGTTTTTCGTGTAATTATCAACGCAGTCAACATGGGGTTTCGAAAGATCAATAGCTGCGGAGGGAGAATCGCTATTGCCGTTCCTAGCCTCTCCTCGAAAGCCCGAAGGCTGCAGGGCTACATCGACGGCCCGGGCGTCGTCACACCGGCAGATCCAAACGTCCCGACTTACAACTTGATTCTGAAAGCGAAGAGATCCTCAAAGCAAAGACGAGAATTCGTGATTTGGCGACAGAAGGTGTTCTTTTTCGTGCTGCCAGGTGCCAGGTCCCTGCTTTGACCTGGTATTCACAGTTGGTTATATAGTTTATTTTTATGAAACATACACAGATTTGTGGAGGTGTCAATATTAGCATAGGTATAGTAAATTGCAGTCATATGATACATATGTGTAATGTACAGATTCTGTACATGTAATAAGTATTTGTAAACGTGTCTGCATATGTCACGCAGACGTCTGTATATCGGGTATGAATGTATGAATATATGAATGAAGGTGGAAACGCACGCATGCATGCAGGGATGCAGGTGTGCCTGTATGGCTGCATGGACGGACGAGGGAAGGATGGATGGATGGATGGATGCATGGATGGATGTGCGCATGTATATGTCTGAGTCTGTATGTATATGTCTCTCGCTCTCTCTGTACATGTGTGTGTATATGCATATGTACATATATCTCAGAGATAGATAGGTAGATAGATAGCCAGCTGGATAGATAACCGATCGATACACGGACAGATAGAGACGGGGTTGAGTCTGCGCAGCCTGGCAAAGAGCTGTGTTAACCACTGCAAGACTAGGGAACACGCTGGTAAGGTTTCACTATTTCGATACTCGCATGACGTGCTAGGAAGGATGGGCGTGCAGATGAGGTCGAGCTTTCCGCCTTGAGGAAGCCGCTCAGAGAAGGCCAGACTGTTAGTGTCAAATTGGATGGCGAGGACTGTCCCGGGCCATCAATTCCTGCTGCATCTGTACTCTGAGGAGTTGGAAGTAGTTGCTCTCATTGACATGACCAGATCCTGGTTTGCGGGCATTCTATGCAGGGCTCCAGCAGCAGACCTTGGCGTTGCAGCTAGCAGAGTGCACAGTGCAAAGTGCCAGATCAAACGTTACTCACCAACTCTTTTCCAACATCTGTGAGGCTTCCAACATTTCCCAGCAAGCGCTTGCTTCCGATGCAATTCGTCATAGATGATAGTTTCGCGAACTGTCCGGCACTCCGACTCCGCATTTCGCCGAAAGGACAGGTGGCTTCCTGCTGTCGTCATCGCACGACAGAGCATTCCGCTAGGCTCATTCCCGGTTGCGATGGGGCGGGCAGGAATCCCCCAATTCACGAAACCCTGGCTCCGCTCAAGCACTCACGCCCCTCGTTCTGCAGCCCTCAAACCATGCCAAGATTCCACAGTCGCTCCTGGGCAGCCCATTAGCTATGATGTGTTGTCCAACAGCTTTTCTCGTATCCACCTGTTACGGCGCCTCTGAAGCCCAAGAAGCACATCAGAGCCTTCGGGACAAGGATGTTGGAGTCCTCGGCGAGGGCTGCTTGGGAAGTTTCGATTTTGGGCCTGGGTGTTTGAAAAGTTCCGAGTCCCTTAGTCCCTCAAGCTGCTGTGGCCAGGCTGAGACCCGGTCCCTGGCCTGTAGGGAGAAGGGTTGAGAGGTGCGCTCTTGGCCTCGGAGCAGAGCCTTCGCTGAAAGCGCCAGGCTACCGGGTGCTTTTGGTTGATGGACCTCACGACGGCGAGAGCGTGACGGTATTGGCAGAGCCTTGTTTTCAAAGAGGTCATCGGCATCAGGTGTCTTCATCCATGATGGAACCTCCCGTGCGGTTTTCTAAGGACAGAGTTCGCAATCGGTTTCCAGCCGGGCAGCGCGTGGCCTTTTGCTCCCATTACGAGCATGGGCTAAGCTTTCACAGGAAGTGGAGGGTTGGACGCGCATCTGGCACGGAGAGTTTCGAAATAGCCTTGCCACTCAGGCTGTGTATAGAGGCCTCCACGAAGGCTGGCGTGACGGAGTGGCCAACTCAGCATTGGGTTTTCCAGCTTTCACACAAAGAGAGGATCAGGGACCGACCGTAGAAGTTCTGTTCCGCAGGATGTGTTCTGGAGCGTTCCACGTAGAGGCATGCGTGCCTGCCGCTAAAGAAGTAGAATTCAGGCTTCGTTGGTGCCTTCAGCGCTGAGGTAGTTCGTGGCGACGCAGCTGATGGAGTTCCCAGTGTAACTGTGGAGCTTCTTGTTGGCACAAAAAGAAGATAAGACCGGATGATGCAACATTAGCGGTGCTGAATGTTGAAAATACTCTTGCTCCAACATGAGGGTGCGACGCCCCGTCTGCCCGGGCATGACCACGTGTGGTGACGCAGGGTCTTATGAATATTCTGAGCTTGCTAAGTCTGAGATCTTCCGGGCCTTTCAAGTAAGGCTCTCCGGCAGTTTCATGCGCCAGGCCACATGTAAACCCAAGCACCAGCGGTACAAAGCCTGAAGTCCGACGTGGACATGGGGCATTCTGCGTTGCGGCCCTGTGGCCCGATCCCGAACCAAGTCAAGCCGTGTCGCAGCCCAGACCCACAGGCGAGGCATGGCGAGGCCTTTAAGAAGCCTGTAGAGGGAGCAAGAGCACACGCCTACTTCACGGAGTTTCCTTGCAAGTTTCCTTTCTGAAGGGGGTTGGTCATGAGGACGATAGGCTGGCAACAGCGCCTTGATTTGCGGTCACATTTCATGGCTTCATTGATAGGCAGCAAGCGCGACCAGCATTGGCTAGGCTTGATTCGAAGATGGAGCTCGACGGGGAGGTTGTGGAAAGCTTGCAACATCTTGCTCTTTGGCTTTAAATGTCGTACGGTGACTCGGCCAGCTTGCGGAGGAGACTCGCAGCCAAGTAGCTCTCAGCTGCCCCGTGTGGCGAGACGCGCCTACATAAGCGCCAATGTGCCGAGGTCCAGCCGGTGGACCGAACAGTCTCCTCAGCGCTCCGGCATTCTGCATCCTCCAACAGGGTTTCTATGTAGTGCTATGCATGTTTGAACTGGTGAAGATGTGCAGGGTCATGAGTGCTCGCTTTTGCACGTATCAGTATCGTATCACGAGTTCACGAATGTGATTCGTGTTTCGACAGAAGGCCCGGTGCCGCACGTTTCGCTCATCTGCACTCGCACAAGCCGGCGTGACCCAAGCAGATCGCTGCGTATTTTGCATTTGCTGGGAAGCAGCGTGGGTGTAGAGAGTTCTTGATGCGAAGCACGGGCCGACGAAATCCAGAAGTTCACCAACCCAACCATTACTCGAACGGCTGAACCTTCGCTCGAGATTTGTGAACATGACCACATCGCATATATGGCATGATCCTGCGCTGGAAGTACAAGCGTTGACGATAGCCTCCAAGTTTTCAAGATGAGGGCAGAACTCTGCCCAACCTCGTTGTTTAGTATCACGGTTTGATGCCAAGGGCATTCGTGCCAGGCTTGGACGCGTAGCCAGCTAAGCTGCTCAGTGTCGTTTGGCCTAACAGTGCCTCATAGCTAAAGGCAGTCGCGGCTCAAACAGATTCGATTCTCTGCAGTCGGAGCAGGGATGGAACCGCGATGTCATGTGGCTGGAACAGACTAGGTGGAGAGACCTGCTTTGTTTTGTCCGCATTCGCCGGAATGAGTCCAGTGCTTCCCTGAGGTTCGGGCAGGACGCACGGACTTCAAGGAAAAGATTGTGGAGAGGGCAAAGAATCGCAAGGGCGCTGTGCCCAGACTCTCCAAGTCAACTCGACGCGCTAGGGCGTGCTGCCGTGCTGCTATTCAGCTGCTCTACATGATCAGTGTCACAGCGCACCGGCTGAGGCGGCCGGACGAACAAAGAGAACGCTCGAAACAAGCCTCTACTCATGACGTTGCAGAGCCGGACGCTAAGACTTCTCCGAGCTTGCCTAATTCATGAGGATCCACGCGGAATCCTAGCTCTCATGCTCATGAGTATACAGCATGATTACTGGTAGCCTGCTTTTCATGAGTGGGTAGTGTGGCCCAAGCGTTCAGAGCTCAGCTGGCTGCCAGCTCATGAAGCCCCCGGCTACCGGTTTTCGTGACGACGTGTGGCTCAGTGCTGTGGATTCCAGACTTTTCGTGCTCGGAACCTCTCAAGTCAGGCAGAGCAGTCAAGGAGAAGAGAGCCCGCACGGCAAAGCAGAAGCTGGCGACACTGCGAGGACACATCAAAACCTTGAGGCTGGGCCCAGGGGATTTTGCAGCCGTAGATACAAGTTGTTGAACAGTTGTTGGTGTTTGAAACAGGAAGAACGCTGCTCATCCAAAGCGCCGACGATGAGAAGTCTGGACCCTGTTTCACTCAAAGAGTTGAGAACCATCAAACCGTTGTGCGTTCCGTGATATTCAACTGCGCCTTGCACGCAACTTGAATGCCAGTGAGTTCCGGATGCTAGCTGGTGCTATTCTGAGCAGTGAACGGCTGTGGGCTGTGAAATTGTAATCGTTGTGACGGACGAAAGCTGGCTCGTCGAATGGCTCTAGCTGTAGCTTTCGCACGGTCGTTGGCATAAGATAGCTCGATGTTGCGAAAGCCGCCTTCGAATCCGCTGATTTGTCTGAGGGACAGCAGGAAGTAGCGGTTCTGCTAGATTTCGCTGTAAGGTATTCGTTCGTTTTTGTCGAATGCCCGCATACACATACATATGCATACCACTACCAACGATGAGACTCGGCACAGCTTCCTGGACACCTGCAGGCACACGACTTGCTGACTGCTCATGTTACCAATATATCCAAGTAATTAGACTGTGGGGCCCAGCATATTCGAAGCAGTTCTGTCTGCATCAGTTTGACAACATGCATGTGCCTTTGCAATGGCGTTTCCTCCGCGTTCCTACAGGCCTGACAAGTTTCTTTCTCTGCACAATCAGACTACCGAGATGGCATAGTGCCGCATTTCGCAGTCATGAGATCAGTCCTCTGCAATCAGACACTAAAGCTACCATGACAAATCCTTTCTTCGTTAGACAAGCTTCTTGCCTACAGTGTCTTGCATTCTTGTGACAGCCTCCTGGGAGCAGTTTTGGCTCTCGTGTCTGCAATCTATTCTTCGGCAGGTCCTTTGCAGCAGCTCTGCGTCAGGAGGAGGCGCAGGGAACATAGGAACTGCCTGGCTTAGCTTCAGCGCCTGCGCCTGGCCAGTGGCCAGGCCGTGGAGCTGCGATTGAGGGCCGAGACCCGGCAAGCGTCCCTTGGCGAAAGCGAGTTGCTCTTAGCGTGGGTGCTGCATGCGTCATAGATGAAGCGACCTGACATCGTTTACAGCCTAACAGGGCCTTGGGAATCTCCTATACAGTCTCAGATGCAGGCAGGTGGAGTCTGCAGCACTCCGGGACTCCATCTACTTGGAGAACTCGCCTGAGATGGGATTGTTTGTTCATCTGAGAGCGACGGTGCGTGGCAGCGGTCTTTGAAGTCCGACACTGGACTCTTGACCAGCTACCATTTAGCCACCATCACAAGTGTCGACGCGCTACTACAAGATTTCAGGCACTCGCTGTAGCTCTTAGAATACTGTTACCGTTACCTTCACCCGTGCGTGTTTGCCCGCAGCCCTCTCGTGTTGCAAGCGCCGCCAAATGAATGAAGACGTCGCAAAAACCGACGGACAACTTTGAAAGCGGGTTTTGTCAGCATACAGAGATGCCGGCACCCAGAACAGCGTCCGCCCCGACCGCATCCACAACCGGTGAGTCTGTGTCAGCACCAAGAATCTAGTCCACCCCGACCACATGCACAACCAAGAAGACACGGTTCTTTGTTGTTTGTGCGGGCGTATAGTGGGGATTGACGTGTTGTTAACGGTCGCCATGGTCAGGGACACCCCATACTGCTACAAAACGTCTGTGGCTTGCCATACCAACTACTACCAGGGCACTGCAGCAGCGCGCGGTAGAGGAGAGCGCCGGTGCCCCGGGGGGTCTGTGTGTTTTATGTCTTCAGTCGTACTGCGGCTCTATGATCGAAGAGAGAGGATCGCCTGTCCCTGATTCCCGTTCCAAAAGCGGACAAGATGATGCACCGGAAATTCGAACCTAGGCTGCAGCTTTGGCCCTCGAGCTTCATGTGGCCAAGACCCAGGATGGCTGAGCGAACATCGATATCGTCGATATCAGTTCAAGTGCAGGAAGTGAGATTCCAATCTCTCGGGACTGGGCATTAGCTGAAATAGGAAGCTTGTCCGAATGCAGGCTGCTGAAGCTTGGCAACAGTACGAAGCGCCCAAGCCTCACTGCAGATCCCTTGAAGTCAGTTTAGCTTCAACACCGCACTTCAAGAAGCTAGCAACGCTCATGATGGAGGCCCCTTGCCGGGGAAGCTGCAGCGATGGCAACCTTGCGGATGCAAACGCAGGCAAAGTTCTTTCTGAAAGACCGTGAAGTTTGTGAATGGACTCTTGGGGAGTATAGGTACGCCCTCTAGCATTGGCGATGCCAGGAATTGCGAGAGAAGAATGCCAGACATGTTGCCGCAGAGCATCGACTGCTACAACCCCAGACTGCACTTGCAGTAACTCAGCAGGTGAGGAGGCCAGCAGGCAAGTTTCGCCAAAAGCAAAGTTTACTGCGGATCACTGCCGTGCTCCGAGGCGGGAACAGCTTCAAGCGCTGTTATCAGAAGTCACAGACCTATGCCATCATTCTGAGGCCGGCGGGCCTTGCCCGCTTAGTTGGACTGGGCTGCGTAGGGTTAATGAAACTCATGGAAGTGACATTGCGCAGTGTTCGGCAGATCTGATGCGCTCGATGTGTTTGTGGGGCCGGCCCGAAAACAGCTGGGCTGATCCGTTGACAAGATCTGAAGAGAATGGAGAGTAATCATTACTTCATTGTGATGAACTACCCTTACAAGACAGAGCCAACCCCAATCCCGCCAAGTATCAAAGCGGGCATGCCAGTGTAGCAGTAGAGCACTCGTCTGAATCTTGAAGCTTTTCCGCGGACCTCTTTTGCGAAGGGACTCCAAAGAGATCTCTTTAGGCTGGGTGCAACGAGATCCATTCATGAGCATCTTGCTCTTATCTCCTGATGTTTTCATCTCAAAGCATTGAGACTCCCAGCGCCATGATCCACTGAACGAGGCTACATCTCGTTGCACTTGGCGACATGTTCGTGTGAATTTCAGCCATGGACGACGGCTGGTCTCTTGGGCCCTGGGTGGAATTTTCCGCCTTGCTGGCCCCTGGGCTGCAACTCACCAATGGGTTGCAGGGGTGCCGAAAGTCTCATCGAGGCGCTGTCTCCAGAAGGTTTGCAATGTGCGATGATGCCATCATGCCATGTTCAGATGGCGAGTTATTCATCATATGAAGTCAGCGTTGAAACTGCTACGATATTGGCGACATGTAACTCTGGCTGGTCCCAGGCCTCGTTAGTCGAAGAGCACGAACCCAAATGGCCCGCCCTCGACACACGGGCACTGGTAGCAGGTAGCAGTCAGAGTCATGCATCTGTAAGGCAAGGGGCTTTGCCCACTACAAGTATGTATTCTACTCTGCCTTCAAGGCGAGCGTGCTGAGCAGCGCATGGCTGATGAAGGCAGCGGTGCGACAATCAAAGAGCTGCCTGTTTAGTCGCAGCAGCTCTGTACAATTATAATCAGCAAGACCAAACGCGAGTCACTGCATCCACGAGCTGCCGTTTGCAGAATTGCTGTGACAACTGCGCACTGATCTCCGGCACCTTTCTCGTAGCAGTGCTGCACAGGCTTGTGCACCATGCTCCATGCTCCTTTCGAGCAGGCAGTCGGTAGCCCAGTCTTTCATGTATGGTTGCGCTGGAGCCAGGAAGATCCATAGAAGAGCAAAGAAGCACTGACTGGAAGTGGATGGATGCTTCTATATTCACGCATGGTGCCGTGGTGGTTTGGCATGTAATGCATCCCAATGTCTTGACATGCAGAGAATGCCAATGCAGGGTCGGGGGGACCGCTTCTCAGACTTGCCTATGTAGAGCTGCATCACATTTCCCTAGAATTCTTGGTGCATCTTCAGTGATTCACGACCCGACATGTGATCCGCATTGTGTGAACACAGACAATGGCTTTCATCGCGCAGATGTGCCAGCCCCCTACACACATCTACACAGAGAGGGAAAATGGCCCAGATCTCCAGCGCCATCCTCCATAAAACTTCTGAGCAGGCGGAAGGCCTGGTTGCTGTTGGCGGGCGTTGGCGTCCCCGAAATTCTCAAGGTGTCCAGCGCCGCAGTAGGGCCTTCCGAGTTCGGAGGCGTGCCTGGATGGTGACGAGATGTGACGAGTCAATGAAAAGATCATCCAGAGCCCGTCATCTCTCATTCGCGTCAACAGTGCCACAACACTGTCTGGACACGAGCTCTTCGCCTCCCCATCCATGCTGGCTTAATGCACGGATACAGCAGCGCTGTTGGGATTTTCAGAGAAACCCACATCAGCAGGCTGTTGGATGTTCAAGCTGTATGTTATTAGTCAATGCATGCTTGCATTTTGCTGAGACTGTGGCACTTGGGCGCCGCGGATCTTGTCGAGATCTTAGCTATTGCTTGCAGGGTGTCTCGAGTCTTCGCAGATCGCAGCATGAAACAAGATCTCCTACAGCGAAGACACCTTGGGAGGTGTAAGAATAGTCGGAGTACTGAGTCCTCCAGTAACGATCCTTTGAGTACAAAGAGACAATAGCAATATGTGTGCGGTGTACGATCGGGCCCATTCTCCTTTCCACAGACTGTCAGAAGTTGGCTGATGTTGACGCCTGGTAGACAGTTGCAATCATTGTTCCCAGACCTGGGCCGGTGATCGGGAATGCCTTAAGCGGCCACCTCCAGCAAGCCCCATCTTCCGACATGCCCTTCTGTGCAGAAGGACTTGATCACAGAGTCTGGTCGTCTGATGTCACGGCTCCCGGTTGTTGAGGCACATGCGACCATCCAGCTCATGTTCTCGCAGCAGCTTGGCGGGACTTACTGGGAGGGGAAGAGGGAGAGAGGATGTCCCCATGCTCCTAGCGAAAGAGAGAAAGGGTGAGGAAGAGGAAGACGGAAAGAGACCAAGAACCAAACTAGACCGGGAGGGAAGCAAATGACCATCGGGTGGTCTAATCCGTCCACCCAGACTTTCAAGAAGTGCAATCCCCCAGTTCCTTTGGAAAGTGTGGGCAAGCAGCGGTGTGTCTGCAAAAGAAGGCTCCAGAGCGGAAAACAAAGGTCGACTCCGCATTGGACAGACTGGTGACTGTAGTGGCTACGTCCCTCGTGCACGGTCCGCCGTTAAGCTTGCTCGCGGAGGAAGAGAGGGTGAGAACGCAACAAGAGCTGCTTTCTTAGACTGCAAGAAGGGGCAGTTCTCGACTTCATTGCTGTTGAGTCATAAATAGCGAGGAGGCGGGACGATTTGTGCAGAGAAGCAGAGTTGCGCCACGCTCATCACGCACTGGACAAGCCGTTTTGCACGGGACTGGCCATGGTCACGTCACTACGAGTATGTACTGCAATTGCATCTCATCGCCCCTGATGCCAAGGGTCTCGCAAGACTTGTTGGGTTTGCCGCCACCATCTTTGCAGATAGAGCCTTGGACTCCAACTGGTGTCTCGTTCACACGCCCTGGCTCTGCTAGATCAAACATGACCTGATCTCACGATGTTGCTGCAGAGGCATTCTACATCCGTGCCGCTGTTCATTACTGTCTGATCACGCTGTGCTGCTTGGATCACAAACATGTGAATGATTCTCAGCGAGCAGGACACTCAGGCACGAGCGATGCACAAAGCTGAGGCCTTGTCGAAGTGCAAATAGCTGCCACACTGGCAACGGCCAGCCTCCGAAATTTCAATTTCGCGAAATGGTTGGGGAAGGCCGCCTCCCTCGCAGACCATGTTGAAACATGATCTCCTGCAGTCTAAAGCCTTGCATGACTCTTAGGCGCTTCCATATAGCTGGGTGTTGGCCGCCGGCTTGGTGGTGGTGGACTGCTCTACACTGGCGAAGAACACGAGCCAAGACTGTTCTGTCCAGGCATTTTGTGTTTTTTCTACTGTAGTTGGCGGTGCTCTGGTTATAGTTACCACAAGTGGCTTTTGCGAGCCTGCTGAGGATTGTGCTCGAAAATGGCATCATCACCGGTGCGGCACCAGTGCCCCAGCAAGTCATGGACGGCCAGCGGACTGTTGAACTGCGACTCCTTCCCTGTAAGACCAAAGCAAAACCAAAATCTCCGCCCAGGTCGTAGCTGCAGTTATGGCCGTTTGCTTTGTCCTTACCCTCATGCTGACGCTTGGCTTGCCAAATCTTTTTGCCAAGCCCTCCGTTATGTCCTGAAGTCGTTTCGTAGAGCTACGTCGGCACTTGTCGATCTTGCAAGGGGCCGGGTCTGTCTGAATTTTGAGAGGGCGCTCGGTCTGAATGAGAACGGCAGACGACGGCGACTGGCACTGAGGTATCTGTTGGCAGTGGTGAAGGTGACCAACCTGAGATGTTCACAAGATGTGATCTGGTCAACTTCTTTCCAAGCGCTGCTGTACCCGCTGAACTTCACGATTACAGCATCCCGACTTCCAATCACATCCATGGTGGCAAACCAGATCGCCAGGGCTCGTCGTGTCATCAGTTTTGCTATCCCGATATGTTTGTTGTGGATGAGGTGTTCCCTACTTGGTTCATCCACAAGTCATACATCAAGGCCAGGCTCTAAATCGCCGCCCCTGCTGATCGGCGTGTGCTAGCACCAGTGAAGCAGCCAGGATTATGGGCGTGGTCTTCACCACTGGGTCGCAGCTGTGTGCCTTGGGCTCCAGGTTCACGTCGCCGTCGTTGGGTTCGGAGGGATATTGGTTGGCTAGTTGGTGTTCCACTATGTCTTCTCGCCTCTCGAGAGCTTCGACAATAGGGTTGTACAGTAGAGGGAAGCTCTTTATTGTTCGCACGTCTTCCTCATAAGTCGGCGACGTTGATGTGTGTTGTCGGCAGCGACTTCTGAGTGCCGGAACTCATGTCTTCAGTGCCAGGTGCCTTGACAGCAACGGCTGGATCAATGCCTTGACATACAGCTGGCAACGCGTGGGGAAGCACCAGGCGTTAATGGTATTCTCACTGGCACATGCTTATCGTAAAACCATCTTTGGGTTATTGTGCTTTGGCAGTTTGGGAGACAGGCCCGTTTACTACTCGGCTCTCAATCTATATCCCCAGAGTCCAGAGTACTTGCGTTGTCGTTGCTGTTTTTGGGCTACGAGCCCAGTTACTTGTGTGACCGCGAACATTGTTTTTTTACCTTTCGCAGGATGCCTTCGGAGTTCTTCCCGGCTTAGATGTGTCACTGCTGCAAAACTCTGATGCCGTTGGCTTTGAAGTCGTTTAGTGCCTTGGCAGCATTGGCAGGCACCTTGCTTGGAATGCCGTGCTTGCAGTGAAAGTAGGCGAAGACGATGTGTCCGGTGTCTTTGACAATGCGCAATGTCTAAGGCGGCGATTTGGATGCACATGTTCTCCCGCCAAGTCTACACTTTTCCATCTTCTGCCGGATGACACCATGTCAGCGGCAGGGCTGGCTCTCTTGCTTTTCCCGGGGTCGTAGGCCGGGTGTAGGCATACGCTTAAGGACAGCAGCTAAGATCGCACCAAAGCCACAAAGGCTTAGGAGTAAATCATAGGAAGTGGTTGGCTGGAGGCCAACTGATGTCGGGCACAGCAACGGTAACAATGAGTCCGGATCGGACGAACCTCCCTCTGTACCGTCCACGCAATTTCATGACTGAGAGGTTTCATCTACTTGTTGTTGCTGTTCTGTACGAATTTAGCTGACTTGGACTTGGACAGAGACTCTCGACTGTCATCCGCACCCAGAACATGGGTTGAACTCCTGCCGCTTGCCCTTGAGATGACACGAGCAAGCCTGTCTTGTTCACTCTCAGGATGCATCGCAAGCACCGTCGCATGTGCATTTGTCCAGTCAACTTTTGAAGTCAATCGTACTGGCAACCACTGCCACTTCAGCTCTAGCGCAGCTGAAAGTCAAACCGAATTGATAACCTTTGCATTGGAACGCGTCCCTTGGGAAGAGAGAATGCAAGCTGCCTCCCTTTGAACGGAGCCAGAGCAGCAAAGTCCCAAAAGGGAAAGTAGGAGCCAGTGTACTTCAATTGTCACATCCAGCCGGCAGGAACAGGAACGAGAGTTTCTCTATATATATATATATATATATGTATATAGAGGACGCATAATCATCTGACAGACTCCGTAAGCAAGGCTTGCGAGTTTGTTCTTCCATTGCTGGATGCGGCATGCAACGTGGATTGGTTCTTAGACTTGATTCATGAACAAGCCCGAAACCATCCACAAGCACGCCACTAAGACATGTCAAGAACCCAAAGCTATGTCCCCCAGTGCCTTGCCAGCATTACTTGGGGACCAGTGACGAGTGTCTGCCATGGAAAAGAGGAGCGTCCGATGTAGGAATGGACCGATCGCATGACGATGCAGCAACAGACCGATCAGATGCAGAAATATGTATCAGAGTACACTCGTTCGCAATGATGTGGTGCAGGGCCCAAGTCACCCTAATTATATGTTGGAATCGACAGGCTCTAGACTCCGGAATCTAAAGGCGTGAACTCAACGTCTTCTTCTTCTTCTGCATTTCGGCAGCTGTTTCACACTCACAGCCAATCACGTCCTCTCCGGCAACGGTGCTATCTGCCATGGTCGACTCGGTGGCCAAGCCACTCGAGGAAACGGACAGTGACGACTTTTTAACAGGAGGTATATTACCACCCCAATCCAGTTCACACGGGAAGCCGGGTAGGCTTTTGCGATGTGGGTCGGACCTCCACGCAGCAGAGGCGTTGCGAGCTGTTCTGGAGCAGCAGCACCAAGAAGTGCTCCAGCGGTTTGACTTGCAGGCGCAGCAGCTAGCCAAGCTTCAAAAGTTGCTTCCCACAGCTTCGGCCCGTTTCGCGGCTGGAGTGGTTGAAGATGGGGATGGACCCAGATCAATGCCCGCCCTGGCGATTCCTCCGCCAAGGCAGCGGAGGCAGTCCTTTACGCCGCTTCGCTTCCAGACCTTCGAAGAGGAGGAGAATAAGCGGCGCGAGGCAGCATTGCACGAGAGCCAGATTCACAGCAGTATGGAAAGGACGACTTCTGAACCCTTGAGGGAAGGATTCTTGACGAGACTAGTCAAGTCGAATCCCTTCGAGATGTTCTTCACCTGTGTCGTGTTGACGAACTCCATCTTCATTGGTATCGATGTTCAGCTCAGCACGCAAAGCCCCGAAGACATCCACTGGGCGATTCAGGTTGTGCAGTCCATGTACACGGCGCTGTTCACGATAGAACTGATACTGCGACTTTCTGTCCATGGGCGGAGTTTCTTTTGCAGCCCAGATTGGTTGTGGAACTGGCTAGACATTTTTATTGTCGCAACCTCGCTTTGGGAAGTCGGCGTCGACGTTGTCGCAGGCCGCATTGTTTAAGGAAGCCACCATGTCAGTAGGATTCTGGACCGCAGTGCTTCGTTTTCACGATATAGTTTCATTACCCCAGGGTTTGGGACACACTTCGTTGGCCTGTCCCATGTGGATCCCCGAACTAAGATCGCAGACTTCCGCATCTTCACCAGGACACGACTCTCGGGGTGCTGGGGTTTCCCAGTCCCATGCTCCTGTTGGTGGGGTCTCTTTCGGTCAGCAAAGTTGTCCGCTTGTTGGCGGCTTCGCAGCTTGTTGAGGAGGCTTCAGCTGTAAGTTGTTTGCGACCGCTTGCCTGTCCCACGTTGCCGAGTTGCGAGCGTTGGTAGGGAGTGTTCACCCGGAGGTTGTCGCTCATCCTATCTGCCTCCATGTCCCGCCAAGCCTTCAGTTTTTGAAACACTTTTCTCCTAACTCCAGGCATCTTGGGAGCCGCTGCCGACTATGGAAGCGTGGAGGGCATGACTGGATTGAGAGCGTTTCGGATTATCCGAGTCACTCGCATCGCCAAGACGGTGCGGTTGCTGCATATTTTTCGTTTCATTCTGGCCTTACGGATGCTCGTGACGTCGATCATCAACACATTGAAGTCCTTGCTGTGGGCCTTGATTTTATTGATACTGATCATTTATGTATTTGCAGTACTTTTCGCCCAGGCAGTTGCTTCTTATTTGGCAGATGACTCGGTATCTGATTTGGAGGAGCAAACGTTGATCAGATATTACGGAAGTCTGTGGACGACCATGCTCCATCTCTTCATGAGTATTTCTGGCGGGATAAGTTGGGTGGAGCTCATCAATCCACTGGAAAAAATCTCCATCGCTTGGGTGTTCCTGTTTCTATTTTTCATTTCATTCACGTACTTCGCAGTATTAAATGTGGTCACTGCCGTCTTTTGCCGGGGGCTTAGTTGTTGCATGAGGCTGACCTACTGCATGTAAATTGTCTTGCAGCAGCGAGGCGTGTTCACACCGGGTTGTGCTTTGGACAATCAGAACTTGCGGAGACATCGGTGTGTTTTGAGTGTTCGTGGATGTCCCCTCGGGCTTAGGCTAGAGGCAGAAACAAATTGGCTACCAAACCCGTGCATGTGTGGGGTCACAATGTGGTACATGTTGCCACAACCACCCTTGCTTGACACTGCTGTTTTTCTGTGGGTCGTTTGCCCTTCGTGGGGTTCGACTTGGTTCTGAACTTAGGTCAAAGCGCAATTGAAGGAGCACAGAATGATCATGCTGCGAAGGTGCAATCGGTTCTAGCAGACAAGCAGGCGCACTTGGAGAAAGTCCGCACGCTCTTCAGCAAGTTCGGAGCTGATGATGGAGTCATCACGTTTGGAATTTTCGAAGACAAGATAAACAGCCCTGCTGTGAAGGAATACTTTGCAACTTTGGGTCTAGAGGTCTATGATGCTTGGTCCTTCTTCAAGATGCTAGACGTTGATGGTGGTGGTGCGGTCGAGATCGAGGAGTTTTTGCTGGGTTGCTTGCGCCTGCGAGGTCAAGCTACAGCCATGGACGTGGCAAAAGTCATGAACGACATCACTTGGCTCATCAAATCGCAAGGGCAGTTTCACGCATATGTGGAAGTGGAGCTGAAGCAGCTAAAGGATGACCTCTTTGGCCGTGCAAGCGTGACGACAAAATCTCCTTCGCAACCTGGTGTAGATAACCAAGAAGATTGACGCACGGGGGAAAAAGCCTCGGGTGCACGTGTAACACTAGGGTTCCTCAGGCGCATGCGAGATGTGTCGGAATGCAAGGTTGTTGTGTCATTGTGCTTGTTGATGCAGCTGTCGCAGTTCTGGAGCATTGCTTCAATAATATATAAAGTCATACTTTTGCGCCATGGCCACGGCAAGCGAATGTGATGACCAAGCTCCCCTCGAGCATCCACAGCCCAGCTCAACTGCCATGCCTGGCAGGCACTGGCATGAAGAAACGATCTCGCGGACGTCAGGGCTTGACCTGCACAGCCTGCTGGTTCAACAGCATGCCATTATCTCGAAGCGGCTTGATTCACAGGATGAACTGCTGCATAGACTGGTTGACGGCACCTTGCAAAGAGCAAGCTTGCCGCACCTGCCATGGTCTGCAGAGCCACAAAAAAAGCGAGATGTGCCTTCAGACGCGCCTGTGAAAGTTGGTAGCACAAGGCTCTTCCACACCTTTGAGCAAGAAGACCGCTCGCGCCAAAGGGAAGCCAAGCGAGTGTCTTTGAGACACAGCGCTACCCTTGCTGACATGCGTGCAAATCCAAAGCCCAGGGAACAGCAAGGCATTTTGCAGAAGATTGTCAAGTCTCCCGTCTTTGAGATGTTTTTTACTTTGGTGGTGGTATCAAATTCCGTCTTTATTGGCATTGAGGTAGAGGTGAGCATATCCAGTTTCGCTACTCTTCCGCTTGAAATTTACGTGGCACATTACATCTTCGCTTGCCTCTTTACAGTGGAGTTGGCATTGCGATGGGGTGCTGCAGGCTGGAAGTTTTTGCTCTCTGATGAGTGGGTGTGGAGCTGGTTTGATTTGTTTGTTGTGCTGACCTCAATCTGGGAAGTGGTCGTGGACATGCTGTACGCAGGGCCTGCTGGCGATGGTTCTTCGCGCTTTTCTGGAATGAGTGGCCTGAGAACCTTTCGCATCATTCGCATCACCAGAATTGCGAAAACCATTCGCCTGCTGCGCATGTTCCGCATGGTCCTTGCCCTGCGCACGCTGATTGCCTCCATCGTCAACACTTTGAAGTCCTTGTTATGGGCTTTGGTACTACTTGGTCTTATCGTGTACGTCTTCTCAGTACTCTTCTGCCAGGCCGTCAGCAGCCACATGGTGGACCCATTAGCTGAACAGCTTCCTGAAAGAGAGCTGAAGCTAGCTCAGCGTCATTTCGCTTCGCTTGGAGATTCTTATCTCAGTCTTTTCATGAGTATTGCCGGAGGTGTCAGTTGGGAAGAGCTGATGGCTCCGATAAAGAAGATTTCATTTGCATGGGTCCTGCTGTTTCTGTTCTACATTTCGTTTACTTGTTTTGCCGTGCCACTTAGCCGTGACAAGAACTGCTGTTTCGCTTTTAAAGCTCATAGCAACCTATTATCCTATAGTGGATGTTTCCTCAGCTCTTCTTTAATACGCAGACAGCACAGGCTGAATGTGGTGACTGCGGTGTTCTGCGCGGTGCTTAGTTGGAACCTGCTGCCAGACGGGTCCTTGGTTGCAGAGCTTTAGCTGCGAGGTATGAGCGGAACTCACGTAAGGTCAGAGCGCTATGGAAGGGGCACAAAACGATCACGCCTCCAGGGTACAAGCTATCCTTGCAGACAAGGAGGCACACGTCCAGAAGATTCGCAAGCTCTTTAGCGAGTTCGGGGCGGACGATGTTGTAACGTACGAGATGTTTCGGGACAAGTTCAACACGCAGGCGGTGCAGGAATACTTTGCTACAATCGGCCTCGAGGTTCCTGACGCTTGGTCTCTGTTCAAGCTCCTGGATATGGACGGTGGCGGTGCTGTTGAAGTGGAAGAGTTTTTAGACGGATGCTTGAGGTTGCGGGGCCAGGCAACCGCCTTAGATGTTGGAAAGATCATCCACGAACAGGCCTGGCTTCTGAAGAACCAGGGCAAGTTCCAAGCTTTCGTGGAGGTGGAACTCAGGCATGTGAAGAGACAGCTTGGCAGCATCACCGGCATCTTCACACCGGAGGCTTCCGAGGATGCTGGGGCAAAAGGAGCATCTTCCTGCAGATCCAGTTGGAAGAGCGACCAGCAAGCTGCAAAGCATCGAATGATTTAAGTTCCCCTTGTCCAAGACATGACGGGGAATAAATTTGTCCTGCAGCACAGCGTGTTCTCATGGAGTGCTGGGATGCATGAGTCTGAAGAAGCCCTGTGCCCAAGCACTTGAACCAGAACAGCCCAGCCTATCTAGCCTGCATGGCGTAAGATCCACCCCGCGGGTCACAATGTGCTGCTGCAGTCTGCGCTTTGTGTGCGGCGAGCCCGTTAAGAATTCGCTGCAACTTATGCTGACGGAGCTTCGCAAAAATGCTCCAAGCGATAGCTTGGACCGACAGTTTCAACATTTCAGCGGGTCTCGCAAGCGGTGGAAAGGAGCACGTGCTGTCCTCGTGGTGTCGGCACTGAGCCGGGACGGGAGTGTGCAAGCCACATAGTGCTCAAAAGCATGACATGAGATGCTCGTGCTGTTGTGGAAACTCTTTGTCGCGGTCGCAGAGTCCCAGCTCGGTTTGGACAAAGCATGTTGGCAAAACTCCTGCCCAAAGGCTCACGAAGAGCATCACGATGACCTGCATCGCAAGGCTGGTCTATCGGTGCTTTCGAATCTGGGCGAGGGCTACTTATTGACGACGGTCCATATGCGTGCCTGTCTGTCCGTATGCGTGAGTATTAGTGGTGTGTGTGTGTGTGTGAGGGTGCAAACGCTTGCACATACTAGTGACTAGCAGTGCTAAATAGCTTCTGAGGCTTTGTTTTTGCAGGCATGGGGGTGGAGGAGTTGCAGGGCTCCGAGCAACGAAGCTCTCCCCTACCTAGATGCAGCTTGACAAATGCACCACTGTGTGCCGAAACTTCGTTGTGCTTGAGCTAATATGCCAGGTCGGCGACACGTCCGACCTACTTCAGCGCATGCGGCAGGAGCATTCTGAGCAAGAGGCAACACCACACTCCTCTGTGGACATCTGAATATGCCGCGCAAGACACGCCAGGCCGCCTTGTCCCACGCACAAACGGGCGCTTCACGGCATCAGGCGCCTCTAGCCGCCTCGGCGCCTCGATGACCCGTATACACTTCGCGGGGAGGAAGACCTCCACAAACTCGAGCGGATTGCTTCAGTGCACCAGCACCCACCTCAGCACTCAGCGGCTTGCACTGCAGCCTTTAGCTTGACACTTGGCCTTCTGATGCCTCGGTGAACGTTGCAGGGGTCGGGTCCACACAGCCAACATGGAGATCGCGCACCTTGTCGCTCACCTCAGTCAGATTCATGTTCACCGTGTCTCTCCGTAGCAGCACTCTACTAATGCACTTCTACAGCAGATTCACCGAGGCATCCAAGCTTGAGGAACTGCTGCGTCCTCAGACTCATGGGTGTGCTTGTGCGATGCGTGCAGTGCCATGCGTGCGTGCGATTTGGTTCTCTTGCACTTATTCAGTTCTTTTCAGCACATTCCATTACCAAGGCAGCTGCCCACAGAGAGCTTCTCGGAGGCGAGCAGTTTGTGCTGGCGTGCAGCCAGCTTTGCTTACCAGAAAGCTCGCTATTCAATGCCAGACCTAGACCTCGACGCTTCAGTGTGCCCAGTGGCAGAGACCGTCCCACTTCTGGCCTAAGCATTTCGGCTCTCCACGCGCCAACAGCATTATGCTTTGAGCATCGAGCCTCCCTGCTTGCGGCTCCTGGCAGGTCGGGCGGCTGCAGCATGAGCTGCACTCGAGGGAAGAAGAGCTCGAGGTGTCGGCGAAGCTAACTTTGAGCAAGACCACGTCACACGTGAAGCACGCACTTAGGTCCACGCGTCTGCAGCTGGGCTCAAGGAACTGAATGTGCAAGCATTGCATGATTGCTCGCGCAACTCATTGTTGCACCCATGGCCCGGAGCCCAGGTTCTGCTTCTAGAAGTGCCAAAGAGTGGCAGGGGACCGGGGATCGTGCCTGTTTGCCAGGTTTTCCGCAGAGGTCTGGCCATGGTACCTTGCCCTAGATTGGTCATAGAGTGTCAATCATGCTTGCGTTCCATGATGACAGGCCCAGTTCGCGTGATTGCACGAATCTCAGGAAAAAACCGAAGAAGCGCTCCTTGACTTCGAATCGGAAACACGACGCAGCATGTATCACCAGACTCCCGTGGTAGATTCGCAAGCTGCATGCCTTAGCTTGGCGTGTCCGTGAGAGACAAGCTTTAGGCTGTAGCACGTTGTGATGCTGTAGAAGAACGCAGCATAACGCAGCAAGACCCATGCCTGGAGGCAGAGATATCCGACCCCTGGAATAATATATGACAAGGCCGGCATGGGATGCACGTAACTTCGGCATGAAGACGACCGGACGAATCCTCTGGTGCCAGGGCTCCCAGCTGTACCTACAAGATCCAGCATACTGGAATTACTGGGTGGCTCGACAGCTTTCGTTGCAAAGAACACAGATTTAGAAGGAGCCCCGAAGCTGTTCTTTCTCTCGACAGCTGTACTCAGGATCGTCCCATCAAGCCAGGCTATCCTGCAGATGCGACTTGCCCTGGGCAGATTGAGCTGATGCTACGTATAAGAAGGCTAAATTGAGCTTGCAGCAAGCACGACGCTTCTTTTGCGCTCTTTTCTACATGAGGACTTCTTGGAAAGCAACGTAACATCTCCGCCAAGCGTGTGGTGGGAACAACGCTGCTCAGCCTCGATGCAGTTGTATTCATGCCCAGAGGTCTTACTGTGTCATTCGTCTCGCACGAAGGCAGGTTATGGCGCAACAAATGGAAGCAGCTCGGCACCGGCGACGAGGGGATGGCCGCTCGGCTTCCCAGGTCACGTCAGCCCCCGTGGATGGGTTTAAGATGGTTCAAGGCGTCAAGGCGTGTAAGAAAGTTGCCGCTGCCCAACTGAAAGCTGAGGCAACTTTCCCGTATGACGGTCGACCGCCTCCGGGCTGGACGCTGTGCTTGCACTGGTGCATTGAGAAAGACAAACGATCTGCTTGCTGCAGTACCGACTAGCTGGCAGACCCTGTATACTGGAATACCCAGTCTAGCGGACACCTCGCTGGCATTTGACTACCAGTAGCCGATTCTCGGCCTTCTGAGCGTCAGCTCCTCGTCACAGGAACGGGCGATGCGTCAGGGAGCCCGGGCTTCTGAATGCAGACTGGGGGCGGCCAAAGCTCTGGTGGGAATGGCTCGAAAAGCCGAACCTGGCTGCACTCATTGCAGTCGAAGCTTGATCTTCAGATAAAGCCTGTGACTCACGCCATGCTGCCACGATCGACCAAGGGCAGGCGCGGTGGGGGATTGGAAAAGTGGCCTCAAGGCAGCAGCCAAATCCATGGTTGGTGACTTTGTCGGCAGCTTTTTTGACGATGAGAAGCGCCCCGTCTTCATGATGAGAGGATTTTTGCAAGTCCGTGAATGAAGTCTGCTGACGTGAAACATTGTTTCTCGCTGCTGTACTTAGGTGCACATTGCCAATCAAGCTCGACTCCCCCATTTCCGAGTACTGGAAAGAGGCAGGTCAAGCCGGCTTCTGAGACGCACTTGATTGAAATGCTCCAGTGCAGGCCACTTCCAGAACAAAGCTGTAGAAGGGGCTCTTTTCCACTGCATGCATCCGCAGTGCAAGGCTTCGACTTGGAAAGTCCTCAAGCGCCGTGGCCCCGACGCGGAACCTTCCGCAGAGCCAAGGCCGCACGAAAGGCCAACCCAGCCTAGCCTAGGGGCGCGCGCGTGTCGGCTTCTCCTTTCCCTTTCCCTCCCAGCTTCTCCTCTTGTAAACTGTAAATCCATGCAAGTTTGCAAGTAGTCCCCCGGGCAAAGGAAAGAAGGCCGATCAAAAGGTGTATGCCACCTGGGATCAAGAGAAATGGGTGGACGAACATACGCTCCGACGTCCTACCATCAAAGGCCAGCACACCCGCATGCAGCACTGCATAGATATCGATGTGATGCAGACTCCTTGCTGAAGCAGGTTTTCCGAAAGCTCTAACACCTGCTGGACTGGAGCGTGCTACGCCACGCTTCGAAGACAGGCGCCGCTTCAGTTTGAGCCGCGTTGCATCACACGCTGGAGCTTTGGAGCGCGAGACAGTCGCTCCTCATTTTGTCGATTCCAAGCTGGCCCGACTTCGGACGAAGTTGCACTCAGCTGGGCGTTTCGAGAATTGATCGGCAATGTCGCCATGGCAACGACTCGCCCACCCACACACACTCAGCACTCGCAGACACCCAAAAGCACGGAACCTGCCAAAGGTTCGAGGACGTGAATACAGGCTGAGTCACAGTCACAGACGCCCCTGCTTCGTGACAACTGGGCAACTTTTGGTGACCACTCATGCGGGTAGGCAAGCCCATGCGTGAGGCCTACCTGATCTGAACGAGTATGTGGAGAGCCAGCGTGAAGAGATGTTCGAAGAAGCAAGGATGAAGGCCTGCGGGCTTGACAAAGATCCGTGCGTGTGCCGCCTACACAACCAGCTGGCAAGGCCTTCGATGGGAACTCGGGGGCATTGGGTTCTATAGCAGACACGCTGTCGGCATCTTGGCATGTCTTAGCCGTCTTGCGACAGCATGGCAGAGGAGAGCCTGAAAAAGCACGACATGTCACGCAGTGTTCGCGGTCTTTGCCATTAAGCCTAGTGGGGCCCTCAAACAAAGCCTTAACATCCCTGAAGATCTCTAGTCATCACAAAGAAATCGATGGATTTTGAGTGCAACGAGCACGGGCCTGCTTGAGAATTGACACGGCTTAGGAACCACGTGAATTGCAGTCAGTTTAGCAGTCGGTGAAAGACAAGCTCATTGTGTCGGTTTTTGGCGACAGATACTGCCGCAACTAAGAAATCGCGCAACGACGAGATCCTGGCGTTGAAGCTCGTCTGACTCAAGCTATCAAGCACGGCTTAACCCGGTGGTCAGAGTTCTTAGTGGACTCCAGATTCAAGCGCTGAGGAGAGGCTACAAGCGTTTGATGAAGGCGGAGCCCGAGTGGCTCGACAAGTTCCTGGAAGGCAAGCGAGACAAATCCGACTCAGGGAGGCCGCATTTTTGCCGCAGTGGTGTTCGTGGGACGGAGGTGACGTTGAGAAGCAGGATGCCCCAGTTGGATATGGAGTCGATGTCACTGGGATGCAAGGAGAACCTGAATCCTTGCAAAGTCTCATGTGCAAAGCTAAGGAGCAGACTTTCGAGATGGTGAAGGAGCCAAAGCATCCGGTGTGGGAGCCCACACCGCCTCCGTGGCCGCTTGGTACCGAAAAATGTCCCTTGTCTTAGTGTCCCTGTCTTTGCATCCCAGGCACCCCGGCGACATTCTGAAGAAGATTCCGAGTTTCGCTGAGGCCTCAGGCCATCGACAGTGCATCTTGACATGAAATGCTGGCATAGTGATTGCCAAGGAAAAGATCTGGGATGAGCGCATGAAACAAGACCCTCGCCGGCAGCAAGAGTCGAGTACAGGTCTAACTTCCTTTCGGACAGATTGACCAGTGACGTCGTATTCATCTGCCGTAGCATGGTACGTATACTAACGTCGTATACTACGTAGTATTGCAAGTGTTGAAGAGCGGGTTTTTGGGGTTTGAGGGAGCCGGAGCCGAGGCTCTGGGAGCTGCTGCGAAGTTTAGTCGCTTTTCTGGCCGGGCGGCTCGCGAAGCGCAAGACGACTTGGACCACCAGTGGCGCCTTAGCCGCTCTTAGCTAGCAGCTCTCCGAAGCGAGGAGGGACCTTGCTGCCTACCCCGGCTGAGGCAAGATCTCAGCAAGCCACCAGACAACTCGATGAGCCTTTGCTGGCCTAGCTATGCCTTGCTTGCGCATCATGAGACACCCGTGAAATCGCAGTGAGATCACAAGGAGAGGTCTCTTGAAGAGGGCCGAGGCTGAAGCCGAAGCTGAGCGAGGCGAGGCCGCCTGTGGAAACCAATCTCTGCAACATGTACATGCAGTCAAAGCCCGTTCCCGGTTTCGTTGCGGAGTCCCGGAGAGCATTACAAGCTGTGCACACCTAGCGCTTGCTGTGCTAAGCCGCCGATCCACCCATTGTGACGGCGGCGGACGAAGCAGAGGCAGGGTCGAAGCTCGGAACTCGACTTCAGTGCCGACAGACCAATGAAGCCATCCACGAAAATGTGTCGCATGCGCAGGTCAGGATGAATGCAATGGCGAGCGCCAATGCGGCTGACACAGAGGGTGCAGCAGCAGCTCAGTCTGCATCGTCAGCAGCCTGAGCAGTTTTCTAAAGCCTGCAGACATGGTTGGAGACTCCCCGAACGAGGACGATCCGGGCGAGCAGCTCGCTGCTGTGCCAGCTTCCTCTTCGACACTCTGCCGCACATGTCATTCCACGCTCAGCCTGTCATTGACCAGAGGCCTGCAAAAGCTGCACCTGACGCAACCCTGCTCTGCAGTTTCCCGGTAGCCAGACTACCGTGGAGCGGAAGAAGGATCGAATTTGTGTTTGTTGATGAACCACCGGACACCGGACACTTGATTTACAACTACGCGGCAAGCCGTACGCCGAGCAACTCCCTTGAGCTCTTTGGGTGGCCCGAAGACGGCCACGAAAGCCACACTTCAGAAGCCGAGGTTGTTTCATGCGTGGATGCCGCCACGAAGGGTAAATTATGCATGCAGATGCCAGGAGAGAGGAAGTAAGGATAGTTACAGAGAAAGAGAGAGAGAGAGAGAGAGAGAGAGAGAGAGGGGCTTGCCTCCTTCATCCCTAGCCCTGGTGAAAGAAAAGAGAGAGAGAGAGAGAGAGGGGGGCTTGCCTCTCTTACCCCTAGCCCTGGCGAAAGAAAAGAGAGAGAGAGAGAGAGAGAGCTAGCATGTCGTAGCCATTTTGGCTCAAGTCCTGGTTCGGGGGCGATGTGGAGCTAGGTATTGCATATGGGACGGTATGCTTCCATCAGGCCTTTAAAGATGTACGTGCCATCGTCGCCTTTAAGCCACCTTGCGCAATACGTGAGCAGGCTGAGCAGGGTTTTGTGGGCCTCTCTCTTCCGACAAGCTCATGGAATGCTTTCAGTGGCTGTGGCTTTGGCAGGAGGCCGTCCTTCGGCGCCTCCCAAAAAGAGCATGGACTTCCATGACGCAAAGAGGTACCGGCTTGGCATTGACAGCCTACTCGTACTATGCGCTGACGGATGAGGAGGATGAGCCAGATCAGGAGGCATCAATCGAGATTGAATACGAGGTGTTCACCATGTCCCAAAGGCGTTGTCTTACCCGGATGTCCACAGCATCCTCAACTTCGTGGAGCCGGTGCTCCAAACGTCGGCCGCGGCTGGAGGTGAAGCCATGCCTGATTCCATCAATCCGGAAGGGCCGTTGGACAAGCTCGAGGAGGAGGAGGTCAAGGAGCCCGGGTGGAACATGATGCCTTCCGTTGCCACGTGGTACATGATCCCGATGCCCGTGATTAAGCCTCCGGCATCACAGCCTGGCCCGGCAGTGGAGACGGCGGCCAAGCCGACGGATTCCAGAAAGGTCAAGGATCTGGAGAGAATGCCATGGGGCATCAACCCTGATCGGTCTGAGATGAGCGGGGCAACCCGCAGCACTGAGGCACCACTGAGCGGCTTTACTTAGGGGAAAATCCCCCAGACTTTTTTGCACTTCGCCATGGAACGTGGAACCTGAGCAAAGACATGCTGCACTTATGAGCCTTTTCGCTGCTGTAGTCTTGTTTGGTTGTTTGGGGGTTTTGCCTTCGAGGTTCCTGGTTCCTTTCCTTTTACTGAGGGGTCAGCAGGCAACCGTTCGGCACGACATGTGCCGGCTCTCTCCACTGAAGTCCTTCTTAGTCCGGGCGTTTTATCCCCCTAATTCCAGCTGCGCAAGCCTTTTCCTGACGGGCCGTCGGAGCCATCCACCTCACCTATTTGCAGCCTCCGCTCGAGGCAGATGTACCATAAGCTGAGGGGTATCCCATTTTCTCGGCACTTTAATTAACCTGACGGGCCGCAGAGCCACCATTGTACTCTTTCCATACCGATTGCATGTTTCTTGTCGACCTTGAGTCGTGTTGCCAGCCCTCGTACCTGACCCCGATAGACTGAATTGTGTTCTTTTCTCTCAGCACACCCACCAAGTCAAACTGCACAACTTCTATGGTCGTGTTGCTTTGCTTGCCCTCACGATTATTTGCCTTGGTGGTGTGTGCACGTCTTTCCTCTGGCACCCGCAACTGTCGGGGGCGTTTGACGCGCGCGGTGTAGGGGGTCAAACCCCTACACCCTAGCCCTGGCGAAAGAAAGCTAGCATGTCGTATGCTGTCGTCCTGTTTGCCTGGGCTTGTTTGCAAGTCGGTCACCCAGAGCGAGCTCGTGCCCAGAACATGCGCCGTCTTGTGGTGAGGTCTGGGTGGTGGTTTATTTGGTGTTCGTACAGGGAGGTTTCAACAATTGTCGGAGCGCAGGCCTCATCTCTTTTCTCACTCGCGCAGACTTTGGAGACCTACCCCTCTTTGGCTGGGAGGAGGGGGAGAGAAAGGCCTGGCGACCCTTACGCCCGGCAGAAAGAAGGAAACTGTGTGAGGGGTCCGAGGTTCAAGCGAGTGCGCATGCAGAGGCTCTGCTGAAGGAGGCGGCAGTAGACAAGGATAACAGAAAGACAACAAAAAGAGACGAAAAGATAATGTGAAGGAGTACACTGTATATAATATGACGGGAGAAGCAGGATAGGACGTAGACTTTTGTTCGGAATTCATGTCAAAATAGCGTGTCATTGAGACACACTCAGGAAAGGGGCCAACACCGAGATTCCGGAGGCGCAGAAGATGGATGCCAAGGAGCAGCAGCTCGCGCAAGGTGTGAAAATGGGATGAAGACGAACAGCGACTTGTGTCGGGGCACCACAGCTTCTGTTGAGGAGGCCAGCCTTCCCAGAACCACCACTGGCGTGACTTGACGGAAAACTGGCACCCAGCCAGCTACCTTAGCTTGCATAGCCTCAACGAGGACGTGAGTCGAGCCTTCAGTTACGCTTCGGGGGCCATGGGGTCTTGCACTGCTGTTGACCGAGCATGCGGGACCCAGGTCACCAACGATGGTACGCCGCCTAGCTACAACAAATCTTCGGTGAAAAGAAGAGGTTCGCCCGTGTCTAGCTTTGGCATTTCCTGGTTATGATAGGCTGAGTGCTGTTGGTTTCGGGGGTGTTGAACTCAGCGCGTGCCAGCCGCAGGCAGCGCTGCCTCGTCAAAGAAAGCGACTCCTTTGCAATGTGTGAAATCACCGACCAGAAGTGGTTTGCCTCAGCAACTAAGGACTACAACGCCTTGTCCAGTGAGGCGGTTCACGATTACATCTTCGCACACATAAGCTTGACATGGCTTGCTACGGAATTTCAATAACAGTTCTGGAGCAAGCCTGCAGACCGATTGATGGGTTTACATGTTGTGTCCCGTTGTGGCTTGTCCAGGACGCCTATACATCAATCAACGGATCACCCAAGGCACATAACTCAAGCCTTCCCATGCGCATGAGACGGCAGCCTCTGTTGTTGCATCCCTCAAGGTGGACCCTGTGACGATGAAGGCCAGTTCGGTCGCTGCCGCCGCGAAGAATTGGAAATCCATTCTGTAGTTAGTTCCAAACTTCGAAACACCTTTTGCCATCAGCAGATCGGCGATTTCGGAGCCAAGGCAGAGATGCTGTTCGCCACCGGACTTCTGACAGTGCCAAGAGCTTGGTCATGGAACAGTGCTATGAGCAGCTCGGCGAGAAAGTCGTGCTCCTTTTTTGCGGTTCTTCGACGTGCAGGCCTGAACTTTCTGAACCAAGGTTCGTTCCTCTGACCGAAGGTGCAGAGTAAGAGTAAGTGTAGAGTTCGCGAGATGGACGGAAAACATGATGACGCATCGTGAAAGCAGGAGCTCTGTCCGGACGTCACTTCTTTCCATCCGTGACTTCAAGATGTTAACGAAGCACCACCTATTTGAAGGTGTGCTCCTGGCTAATGCAACCAGCTCAAGGCAGCTGTCGTCAGACATCTTTTCTACGCGAGTTTGCTGAAGCTTCTTCGGAGAAAAAGTGCAAATCCCTTTTCTTTTGCTATCAGGAGCGGAGGCGATGCCCCACCGCAGGACTTCAACAGACTTGTCAGGCTGCTGGCCGCAATGCTGCAGCACTTCGCAGCAGGGCGGGGTGGCCAAATGGGCTCAACCGAGGGCTTGTAGTCGACTTATCAACCTCTTCTTGGACTGTTGCACTACTGCAGAGACGGAAGCCACCACCTCATCCATGCCCAAGAATCTCCAGTGAGAGGCTTTGCGAGCCGAATCCATGCTGCGACTTCTAAAGAACGAGGTCGCGGCATCTGGGTCGTGGGAACAGGCTTGGGGGCCTCCAGGGTTCAGGAATTGAAAAGGATTAACATGTCGCCAGGGTAAAAGCTTTGGATGTGCTGTTATATGTGTGGCCGACAAGAAACAGGAGAAACTGACGGGTCCATGGCTGGCGTAGGCCCTAAGCATTCATGCAACCTGACTCCAGGATTTGCCAACGGGCCTTCGTGCCCTGGGTGAGCAGTGCTCCAGGCTCCCGCTTCTTCGAACCGATTTGTCCGGATTTGTGGTTCGATGACCCGACGAGTACTGACAAGGGCCCCCCCCATTTTGTTGAATCGCTTGTTGACAGGTTCAGGGGGAGGAGTCCTCCCCTGCGAGCACCGTCTCCTCCTCGCAGCGATGCCCTCGTGAACTGGGCGCGGCGAGCGGACGGAAAAGCTGCTTGCTGGTAAACTCTACACTTTGGGTCACGAGCCATTCCCAGGTTTTTCGACGTTCGCGGTGTTTTGCCGACCCCGATGAATGCACGACTTCCGGATTCCGCAGCGATGTGGCCCGATGGATACCGCTGAGCATGCCCCCTCTCACGGTGGAGTATATCAAGCATGCGACCGGGGAGTTCGATGAGGCGCTCGCGGCCATCAATCGCCGTGAGACTGTTGCGAACACTTGCTCGCAGGAAAGCGTATTCCAGGCCATCCTCCCCAACCGCTCCTGAGCAGCAGTCAGGGTGCCTGAGAAAACTGTCCATTCTGAACGCCGGTTAAGGCTCGATCACAAGGATTGAGCAGCTTGCAAAGTGCGCTTGCCTTAGTTGGTTGAAAATGCAATCGATTTTGTAAAGGTTTGCAGACAGAGCATGGTGCTTCGGTGATTCAGGATGGGCCTTAACATGTCACAACTGACTCACAAGCTGTCCCCTCCCCGACAGCCCGTCTGTAGGCTGTAACCTTCGATGGTTGGATCTGTCAAAGAACCAGATTGTCCGCGAGAGCCTTATTTCAGCGCAGGGGCGCATGCCGACAGAGCCTTGCTGGCAGTTTCCCGCTGTGAGAGTTCGGATTCATTTCCAGGCATGGAGAACTTAGATGGCTTGAGCCAGCTGGTTTCAGCTTCTCGGCTTAGACTCCTGAGCTGCCATGTCCGGACTTGTACACAATCTGCACCCGGTCGCCCCAAGGCTTTGGTCGGTTCTCAAGTTGCCGAACTGGTCAGTGCTCACGTATCAACACATGTCATTCTTCAACTTCACAGCATGACGCCCCAACCTACTTGCATCTGTCCTTCTCGTCGCACAGACGTTTTGAGCGCTTAAGCGCATTCGGGCTGCGCACCAGGTTGACCTGTCCTTCAACAAGATCTCGAAGGCAAGCTTCATGCTGGACCGCATCTTCATGAGACTTCGGCCCCCGAAACCTCAGAACTTCAGTTTTGTTACGGTACCGAAACCCTCCCTGCGTCCGCGAATGGCTGTGTGTGTGTTCTCATGACAGGTTCAGGATCTGAGCGGCACTCCCAAACTTGAGCGGTTGATGCTCAAGGCCACTTAGAGGGCGAGAGTCTGCCTGCCAGCTTGCGCTGCCACTTCCTGCCCAAAGAAGAGACATCAAAAAACCGGGCTTTCTGGCTTCGTTTCTTCCATGAACATGAATGACCGAAGGCCAATCCGATCTCCAAAATCCAGGACTTGGAAGGCGCTTCGTTCAAGAGTTTCCTATATGTGCAGAAGACAAAGATAGCAAGCTGCGCAACTCCCGTCTGAGAGTCACGAGCCTCGGGCTTTCAACCGCAATTACTGCCCAATCATGCAGGTCTGAAGGCATCACGCTCCTTGCGCCATCTCTCCTTCCAGAATGTGGACCGCGAAGACGGAAGTGTCCAAGCAGTAGCTTGCCCTCTGCGGCTCTGCAATGGACGGCGGAATCATATTTTGCCGGGGGAGAGGACAATTCTGATGCCTGTCCAGTATGCTCACTGCCAGAGTCCAAGCCTCAGCCAGCCGAATCTCCGACATGTGACGGACCTTTCTCTCTGCATGTAAGAGAGGTACGCCAAGAGTTTGCGGTCGCTTTGTCCCGAGCTGTTGGCCTTGGACTCGAAGCGACTACGACTACCAGACTTGGATCGTGAGGCTCAAGCCTTGGCACGTGCTTTTTCTCTCAATCAAGTTGAGCTCTTGCGTGCGAGTCTCAGCTTAGATTCGACGGTTGGACGAGCAGAACGCTGTGGACATACCCGAGCCACAGCCAGAAGCTCGTGAAAGTACATCTAGCGCAGTGTGCTATGCGATGCAGTGCGCAATGAATGCAACGAGCATCAACGAGTCACTAACTACTGAGAGTCTGAGAGGCACTCGACCCCAGAAGGATCGCGTTCTTCGGTCATCTCCTTTGCGCTTCGAGGCCATGGTTCTCGGCCGCGGATTTGGACCTGGGTGAGATGCAGACAGCGGAGGCGGTCGAAGGTCATGATGACATTTAATGCTCCTACTCATACCTGATAAATAAAGGTCATCGAGGAGGCGCTGAAGGATCGCATAGGAGAGTTCGAGGCCTGGTAGATGGCGTGAACATCCGCTACTCTGCCAGTCGGATCGCAGCGTGGAAAGAGCTGGGGCGAACGGGCGAACTCCCTCTCACTCTCGCACTCATGCCCTTTTGGCGTTCGTGAACCCTGGCTTGTCTGAAGGCAGCCATGGCCGACTGCAAGCAAGTGTTCAGAGAGGCGCCCACTCAAAGTCAAAGTCTTCAGTGACGTGCGAACACGGGCCAGGCAGAAGAACTGCTTCGACTGCAGGAGGCTGGCTGACTTCATACCTCAGGCCTCGCCCGGACCGGGCTAAACGGAACATGACCATCCCGGGTGTCCTGACCAAAGCAGCGATTTTTCTGGATGTGCACAACAGCCATCAAACAAAGGCCATAATGACGGCGATGCGTCTAAAGAAGCAACGATTCAATTGGCAGGTCAGAAGGCCAGAAGCTGCCCTGCCTGGGCGAAAAAAGTGCAAGGAGCATCGCATGTGGAAGCACATTGCGCTCTCAGCTCACCTACTGTACATGTCAGAAGATCGGAGTGTCTTCTCAATTTGGACCTCGGCCCAAGCAAAAACTCGGAGACTTGCCAAGCCTAGAAGGGTTCGCTCCGTGGGTACACCATGAGCAGGAGTCTGGCATCAGCTAAACGCCCTCCTGGCGCACATCATCCAATGTATATATTAGGAGCCACAAGCGGCAGCCTCGCACTGTCACAAGTGAAGCGGCCCTGGGCCGAGACTGAACGTGAGCCCCCGCTCCCGTTGCCGATGCCGAGATGCTTTCGCCAAGCGCTGAATGCCTCGTGCCGAACTCCCGGTTGGAATCTGGAGAGCTTCCTTGAGGTTGCCACATCTTTCTGTGCAGCGTGATAGTTGTAGCGTGGAGAAACTGCTTGCTTTGACGGAGCGCACCGGGGCTCGATTGTGTCAAAGCTTGAAAAGAACTGTCACCGCGGTGTGGGCTTTCGCAGGCTGCACATAGCTAACCTGGGGCCCTTGAGTCCTGCACCTTCTCCCTTATAGCCGTCACACAGAATATCTTGTGTCCCTGAGGCCTACAGTGCCGACCGCCGCCAGCAGGCCCCGGTTTCACACCTGCCGATCAAACCAGACAAGACTTTGCAGCCCCACATGTTGCGAATTAGGATGCAGAAGCAGCTCAAGCAGTGCGGGAGAGGCAGTACGGAGCCCAGCTTGTCGTGGGTAACATATCACGATCATATCGCTTCATCAGAAACAGGTCTGTCTGGCAGCTGCGGTGCAAGTTGGACCAGTCGCGCCGCGAGGCATTTTTTGGCCATGCTCGTGCTTTCCTATTTGTGTCAAGACCCCTGATTTTGGTCCAGGCTCGACTAGTTGCTCGCGCTTTGCAGCATCAGTATGCAGACGTGAAGAGGCTGGAGGCAGGGGTCCTGCAGTGCAGATCTGGATTGATTGACAGCTTATGCAAGAAGTGGGGAAAGCTCAGCTTCATGTCCCAGGCCGCAACACGACAAGAGTCTCAATACGCGGCCCAGTTGGAGTCCAAGGCCAGCTTGCAGCTGATGCTGATTCCTCCCCCGACCAAGTCCAGGGCACAGTCAATCTGTCCCGTAAGACTCGGTAAGATGGATTATCATTGTCATAGCAGCGCTCAACGAGAGAGACACATGAGCACACATGGTCATCGCTCATCGCTATGCAAGAGCGCACATGCAGTACCCGTTCAGGCAGCGCAGCTGTTAGCAAGCAGCCCGGCTGTCGAGCTTCGCTTCCAAGGCGAAGGCCTTCTCACTTTCTGCAGGGGGCCTGCTGAGTACTTATGCATAGCTGTACTGTAGCTACTGTAGCTCAGCTCAGTCTTCAGGAGAGCTGGAAAGCCTGCACGACGAGAATCGATGCCTTCTAAGAGCCTGGTCCGCAACTGAACTCGCTTGTCACTGCCGGTGGCCATTAGCCAGACGGGAGTCCGAAGATGATACATCCTCTGACAACACAGATTCACCTTGACAACAATGCCTGTGCCGTGTTGACAGCTTTGCAGCTCTGCCCATGGAGACCGACGCAACTTGCTGCCGCCACTTTCATGTCTTCGACTTTGCTTGCTTGAGCTTGTCATCTGACCCCAACTTGCCCATTGTCGTCCTCGTTCCACTCGAGTGACGATTACTGCACAGCACTTCGTCGGACATTTCTGCCTGTGAAGACATGTCGTGTTCTCACCTTCTGCCTAAAGGGGAGTACTTTGTTTGCTCTTGTGTCTCTACATTGCCGAGGAGATATCCGAGGTTTGCGCCAGTCTGAGAAGGACAGTTTGTCAGACTTCCCAACTACCACCCAGCTCAGTGCCCACAGGGCAGCGCCGAAGAATTCATTCACAGTTGCAGCCCTGGCTGGATGGATACAGGAGCGGCGTGGAGAAGCACTGCGACTCCTTGAGACTGCCGAGGACAGGTGCGTTATCCTATCCAACTAGGTCGTGGCAAGAGGTTCGTGGACAGATCCTCGGAAAATCTCCAAAGCCTGCAGCACCTTACTTCATCAGGACTGCGCAGCAATTGCAGAGGTTCCGGTGGATCTGCTGGGTGCAGTTGGATGGGGCCAGCTGGAGGTGCAGGTGCAGACAGACCTTGAGTTCTTGCCTTTCACTCCACCCAGCTTGACAAGCTGCAGGAAGCGCAGCTGAATCTCGCCCGTACCAGCGCTGCGAGGTCTTGTGCTGCAGAGGACAGCCAGCACGACAGAAGCTCCAAAAGTGAAAACAGACGAAGACGCCAGGAGCACGATTCCCTTCTTTGGTCTTTGCACTCAACTCGCCAAGAGCATCGTGTGAAGGCAACCCGCAGAAGGATGTTTCCTGCAGTGGCTCTGTTGGTCATCCGGCGAAATTCGACGACAGCAAGTGTTGCCGTTGAGGAGACTCCCACAGCCCCAAGCCAGTGTTTCTGCCGCTTCCTTCAGAAGCCGTGACAGCGCTATGCAGGTGGCACAGCTCGCGACAGACGAATCGGTGGCACTGCAGCATCAGATGTCGAAGTGTACTGTGCACACAGTTCAGTGTCGGGGCAACCTGCACAGCAGGAAAACGAATCAGCATTCGAGGCTGCACTGTCCGCCAGCGCAGAACGCCGGCACTTCACGGCTGAGATCGCAGCCTGCTGCGAGGCATTTGCGCCAGCTTTGATACGGGTAGTAAAGTATGGTACACTCAAGGAGAGATCGCAAAGGAGACCCGAGATTGGGCTCTGGCAGGCAGCAGTTTTCCTTCGAAACGAATACAACGAGCTGCAGGTGGGATTCTGCTGCAGTCAGTCTCGTGCAAAGGCATGCAGATTCTCCATCTCCCGAAGCGACATCCACATACAAGCGATACCAAGCGCAATTGCTGAGCAAGGCTGAGTCGTCTCGTGAGCAGGAAGATGAGAGGGCATGCAGTGACCTGGCAGCACATGGCATGATCGCAGACGACATGTGAGACATGGGCATGTCACCGCTCGGGAGTTGTTTTGGCTTGAGATGCACGTCAGGCATCGAGCTCCCGGAGCTTGAGTCAAGACAAGAGACAGTCTCTCGGGACTGCAACGCGATGCGCGAGCTCAGCTCAACAGTTCAGCCGTCATCGGAAGACTTTGTCTCCCTGATAGGACTTGCTTACAGAGTCCTTTCTCCTCAACCAGAGCCGCGAAGCAGCGCAGAGCCTTCGAGGACCGCGCATACGAAGTCCCTCCCAGCCTGGAGCTTCCGTGATGCAAGGACAGGTGGGGCAGATCGATGCCGCATTGAGCCCTTTGACTGCCATCTTCGCTCAGATTGGAAGCTGGTTGCAGCACGTGGTTGCGATAGCTTTGCAGTTTAGGGTACTGTTGCTGACAGCTAGAACGCTCGAGGTCGCAAGAGTCTTACTTTCCAGCAAACCCAGCATGAAACGCCTGTCGTTTCGACGGTACACCATTCTTCAAATACAAGGGCCGGGCATGCACCGACAATCAAAAGGAGCATCTATCTTGTTCTCAGCAATCGATGCGCACCACTACAAAGGCGACGAGCGCAGAAGAAGCCACTGAGAACACTTCCTCGGATCGTGGCAGAAGGCCCTCCCTAGCCAACATGCCAAAGGCCGATCGTCGTTTCGTGCCACGAGGCACGGAGCTTAAGTGAGGTCGGGACCATGAGAGCCACAGACAAAATCCAATTCAGGCGGTCAGATCGCCAAAAGCTCTGCATAGTTACTCACAATGTGAGGCTGTTGGCTTTGGGGTCTGGAGGGCGGGGCAAGATGGGGCTTTTGCCTCTCAGGGGCTTCTCGGCCTTTTTGCGGTGGTCAAGATGCCACTAGTGCTCGCCTGTTCGTTTTTTTGGCTTTGGACTCACGACCACAACGGGGTGATCTGAGAAGGCTTTACTTTACAATTCAGCCAACGCCTTCCGGACGTTTGCAAGCAACGCTTGCCCTGCCTCAGCATAGCGTACCGGTGTACCGGTGTGCGAGCGACTCTACAAGGCCTCGCCTTCTGGCGACTCCGTGGGAATATTGGAAAACAGCAACTTCGTGGATGTGCAATGCACGCCTGTATTTCTGTGACATGAGGCTCTGCTGCTGCCAGACGCCGCGGCCTGGTGGCGGAAGCATGGCGTGGAGACGCGCTACAGGTCTGTCGTCGTGTTGTGGGGTGACATATCAAGATCTGGCAAATCGGCGATCCAAGCAACTTTTGGTTGTGGGCACGGACTTCGTTAAATGGTGAGCATTTGTTCAGGGCCACCTCGGTTCTCCTGTTGTGAAAATGCGGTTCAGGCAGCCGGGCTGCGAGAGCTCGAGGTGCAAACCAGCGAACTGCAGAGTGAAGCTCGGCCTTCGAGTTCTATCCGGTATTTTCCGTTTTGTACTTCAAGCGGTGGCATCTCTGTATTGCCACCTATGAATCTAAGGAAGCAGCTTCTGCACAGGCTCCCCTTGGGCAGTCAAACATGCTGACACACGGTGCATTCGCTTCCATTGAGCCATGGTTGCCAGTCTTGTTCAACGCTGCACACGCCACTGGTTCTGGTTGCGAATCCTGCATGCGTCTGTTTGATGTCCAGGTTGCAGCGCTCAACCTGAAGCAAATTCGGGAAGGCCGGACCCTCTAAAGTGCCGTCAAGTTTTCGTAGACAGCTGAACTATGGCACCTTCGGAGGCTGTAAACTTCAGAGCCACGAGCAGACGCAATGGACTAAGAGTGATAAATGCCAGATTACTCGGCCTGCTTCTCGACAAGCTTGGTTGGCAGGTCGATGCTGGAGATGGAGCACG